CAAGTGGGGACCGAAGTGAGATATCATTATTTATATCCTGATTGTTATAGGACCCAAATAAGACATATTTGCAAGGGACCGATATGAGAAAGGACCCATTGGGACCGAACCGAGAGTAATCCAGTGTCTAGAGTTCAACTGTCGAGAAGCTTAATTATCGTGTCACTAATTTTCTTATAAAATGTATTTCATGATTGTAGTAAAATCTGATGATTTAAAAAATGCTGAGTCATTATTTATTGCATCAAAAAAGAAATCATTATCAATGTATGGAGCGTTGATGAAGGGTAAGAATTTTTTAACTTTGAATTATATGTTTTAAAAGATCTTTTGTTTTTTTCAGGTTATATTAAAAATAATCAGGCAAATAAAGCATTGGACCTATTCAATAAAATTGATTCTCCTGATCAAGTTATTATTATTCTTTTATTTAATACTTGTGCTCTACTTGGAACAAATGAAGCACTGAGTTTAGTTAAAAGAGCTTCAAAAGAAATTCCCAAATCATTTTATTCAAATCCTCGTCTGTTAACGTCATTATTAGATGCACTTATAAAATGTGGCGATATAAAACATGCTGAATTATTATTTGGTAGATTAAGAACAAGAACTTTATCAGTGTATAATGCAATTATAAACGGATTCAATAAAGAAAAGAATCCTTCTAAGACATTAGATTTATTTCATCAAATGAAAATAAGTGGTCTTGAGCCAAATTTTATAACTTATACTTGTGTTATCAAAGCTTTATCTCTAAGTGGTGATTATTCATTAGCTCAATCGGTTATTGGGCAAATTTCTAATTCTGTTTTGATTGATAATCAAATTCATAACCCATTAATTGATATGTGGGTAATTTTTAAAAACAAACAATGTTATTTTCATTTATTTGAATTTAAACAATTCCATTTAGGGTAAAACTGGATGTGTCAATAGAGCAAAAGAAATTTTCAAGAAAATTCATCAACCGGATCAAATCGGATATGCAACCATGAGTTTGTTGATTTATTTTTTTTTGAAAAAATTCAATTTTTTCTTAATGAATAGTTAATTGCTATGGCTTAAATGGAATGGGCATTCAAGCAATTGAACTTTATCGTCAAATATCATCAGAATTGGTTAATGAATCAGTTAATGTTTCTGTTCTTAATGCATGTTCACATTCGGGACTAGTTGATCAAGCGCGGTGTATTTTTCGAAATATTCATATGAAAAGTGAGAGAATTTATACTACAATGGTATGTTAAATATTATTTTAATGAACTTTGAAGAATTCTTCTTGATTTATTTATTTAATTAGATTGACTGTCTTGCTCGTGCATCTTGTTTCGATGAAGTACAACAATTAATTGATGAATACGAACGTTCTCATTCACCAGTAGCACCTATGTACAGTAAGTATCCTTCAAATATTTTCAACATATTCGATAAACTTGGGTGTGGGTGTGAGTATTTAAAAAAGACCCACACCCTCGGGATATCGAATTGTATATAGGAAATTCATTTTTCATTAAAATTTGATGTTCTGGAGACCCCTATACTGCTTTTTAGTTCTCAAGACTCCTACAAAAGGAGTACAGAAATAGGGTTGCTTGACTGAAGCCTGCTATTTTTTATTACTGTTCTTTTTTCATATTTTTGATGCAGAGCATCCAGGTTTCATTTATGCATGAGTCTCCTGAAAAATCTACAACAGTGTTATGATAATTTTGAATAATAAAATTTTTCTATATATGAAGAAGTTATTTATACCATTTCAGAGGGGATGTTGCACTGATTATTATCGTATAAATATTAGAAATGCAATCATTGGAAATTGTTAATTTATCGTCAATGCATGATTGCCTTCATTTTGACACCAACTCTTAATTTCCAAGCTAAGTTTACGAGGGTGAGAATAGGGTATGTCTGTTTTGAAATAGTGTGCATCGTTGGGATACCTAATTTTCCCTCTGCAACAGTGAAGTTGTTAGTTGTAAAACCTTCCGAAATAAAACTTCTTTAATAAATGGTATACACGACTAAGCTCAGCAGCGCATTAATTTAGTTAATGAAGTTGATGGTAGAATAAAATTGTGCATCGATCGTGCTAAGTGAGAAAAAAAATAAACCAATGAATGAAGAATGATCGCGTATTAATATTGAGCTTTACATTTTTCTTCAGCTTCAGTTTCGGCTAAACGTTTATGACCAGTTTGTTTACCATGTCGAATTAATTAAATGAATTCCTCCATTAGCAATAGAAAAATATGATCTACAGATAGAACAATGTGACAGATGTTTATTAGTTTGACATTCTCTCATCCATTTCTTGTTGAAAGTACAACGTCATTTCGTTTTCTTCTTTTATGCTTATGGATGACTTCTTCCAAAGAATGAAAAGACTTTTTATCTGTTGTTATATCTGGTTCTGAATTTTCAGATATTTGTATCGCATTTTCTTTGTCGAATTCTAAATGTGTATTAGTATTATTATCCATTCAGTAGAAATTTCAATCTAAATTAATGTTTTAGGCAACATATGCTAGTCAAATATTATAGAACAAAAATTTCAAGAAAAGAAAAAGAAAAATATTTCTCGAGATTTATTTCGATTTTTGTAGTTGAAATAAGCGTAGAAAACAGAATGATTCAGGAGAAAATAAAATTTCAAAAATCGATTATTCATTATTTATTAATGCTTGTCCAGCTCTGTAATGGGAGAGGTGATGGGAGGGAGCCGAAAAACCTCGGTGAAAACTTACACTCACTATTTCCTTCGAAAATATATGTGACTTTTACAAAATATTCGTCAAATCGAAGACCAGTAGAATATGCTCAACTAGAAACTCAAGTATTCATCAATCGATTGAAGTTAATAGCAAACTAATTATACTAATATTATAGAGATGACATGTTGATGCAGTTAACAGAGATTAAAACTATTGCATTAAGAGATATTTCAGTTAAGATGCGCTTTTTCCTTCACATCAAACTAGACTCATAAAAGAAGAGTTTAGTCTTCAGCAAATTTATTTAAGGAATTTCTCGCTCCTCACAATTCACAATAGATTATTCATTTAGAATGCCCGTTTGTGCTTAAAATGTACACGGATAAGTGATCATAGTCCAGTTTATGGCTCTCAAAAGAACTGTTATAACTTCACCATTGGAAGGGGTACAGGACTTAAAGTGTTCTCAAGTTAAAAATAGGAACATTATATATAAGGTGTGAATTTGACGGAAGTTAATTCAATTTTTTTCACGAAAAACCATGTTCTAAGAAAACCATTACATAAGTTACAGATGAATTTTTTTCATTCAAATTTAGAACTAATTCGCATATTTATATCCTGTCTCAGTGGAATATTTGAAATCACGGAACAGCTAATGTAAGGCTAGTACCATGAATTATACTTAAATAATAAAAATCTTTAGCCTAATGTTGATATAAATAAATAGACAGTCTTCCAAAGACAAAAACAAACTTGAAAATCTTTCGAAAAACCAGAATATTAGTCTGTATATCTCCTTTGACGGTCTGTTAAATTTTTTGTGAAAAGTCATAAATACTATAGATTTTTTGAGAAATTGCTTTTTATTAAACTAAATTTACAATTGTAAACTCTATTTCAATATGGCACTTTATTGGAAGGAGAGTTTAATAATAAAGTGTGCTTTGTCGTTCTTCAAAACTAATTATTATAAAGAATCAGAGAAACGGGAAAAGACGATTTTATTCTTGAAGCATAAGTTAATGCTGTTTGCGACTGATATTAATAGAGATTAAGTTTTGATCAAAATCAATTTGATATTGTAGTTTCACATTTAACACTAATTCATTTTATGTACATTAAAAATACGGTTTTTTTCTATGATTGAAAAATCCATTGATTGTGATCTTCAGGATTACATCAAGAAGTGAGTTTCACTGTTAGAGATAAAAGCTTTTCACCGCAGCCCCATTGGGACTAAAATGTGGAACTCACATATTTCGGTCAGTTAGATACTGATCAAATAGAAGTTTTATTTTTTTTTCAGTGTAGTGAGATCATTTTTGTTTAGAATATGTCAGTATGCTGAAGTTTTTAGTGGTTTTATTGAGAAATATCGTGAATGATAGCTAATAGTTTAAACAGTATTTAGGATATAGCATCGATATCGTAACTATGGACTATAATAATAAAAACGACAGATTTTGAAGATTAATTAGAGATTAAATCCTAATTATAATGATTTCTAATTAGTGAAACTAGATTTTAATTACTGATATGAGTAGTGGTGAACATAGCCAATTGATCTGTACAAAATTTTTATCTAATTAGTGCACCGAAGTGTTAGTTTTTTCATGTTTTATGTCTGTAATGGGGAATGGGTACAGGGGAGCCGCAAAAACCTAATAATTCAATTTACACTCACTATTTTCTTCGAAAATATATGTGAGTTCCACAAAAAAGAGCAGTTTCAAGGATGACGATAAGACAAAAGCTAAAATTAGCTGAAATAAATGAAAATTTTCTGAATATGGAGGTGTACATTACCCTCTGATTTTGATCAAATATTGATCTATTTAATACGAACCCAAACAAAATTAATTTATGCTTGAAGAATAAAATTGAGTTTCCCCTTTTCTCAAACTCTTTATAATAATTTTGAAGAACATCAAAATTTTGGCAAGACACACTATATTATTAAAATTTCATTCCAATGAAGTACCGTATTGAAAGAGAGTTGGCAATCATAAATTCAATTTAATAAAAAGCAATTTTTCAAAAAGTCTAACTGTTTTATATCAAGAGTTAAATTTTTGAGAAATCTTTTTGTGAAAGGAAGTGTTGCTCAAACAAAACGGATGAGTATCAATGAAAATTCAAATTAGACAGCGGTTCATTGAAACGCGTAGAACAGTGGACTTTTTACTCTAAAAAAACGGTGCCGATTAAGCTTTCGAAGCCCCTTGGTGTCAAACCGACTGTTTTAATGTAAAAAAAGTAGTTTTTGAAAACGGAAAACACGTTGTTATATCAATTTTTCTTAACTGGGAAGAGAAGTAATCTTTTTTTATTGGTTTCTCAGAATCCTTCATGTTTCCTTGCTTCTAAATTAATTAAATTAAACCACAGACTTCTAAAGTTGTATGTGCATTCTAAAGCATATAGTAATTACAACCATAAAATCGATTTTGTCGATGAGTTCGTATAGTTTCTCTTAAATATTAATAAACGATAATGATAAATAAAACCTGATGAACATTTTCGATGAATAAATTTTCATCATGAGCAGTAAATACACCAATGACATTTGTAAGGCAATAATAGTAAACAACAACGAATAAAACTATTTTTATAGAAAGATATAAATTCGATTATTTCCTTATGTAAAATTGAAAGATTTTTATTAAAAACTAAATTGACTTTTCGTTTTATTTTCTTTTATTTGTTTTAGTGGCGTGGTTATCAGGTGCTCGTAATATAAAGAATAGTCCTATGGCCCAAAAAGTTTATGATCAGATGAAGAAACTTTTTCCTGATTTAACAGATTCATTAACATCAGCTTCGATTCTTCTTGCTAATGTTTATGGATCATCAGGTGATATTGACAAAGCAACAGATATTCAAACTCAATTATATCAATCAGGAGCAAAGAAAAAGGTTGGTCTTTCGTGTACTGTCGTCGATGGAGAAACCTATGTAAGTTTACCCTTACAAGGACATTTTTCTATATAAATAATAGAAAATGATTTTTCTAGGAATTTCGAGCTCATGATCAATCTCATCCTCGATCATCCGAAATTCATGGTGAAGTTGAGAAAATGTCTAAACAGCTTATTGAACATGGCCATAAATATGATTCGAGTTCGATTACACGACCATTGAATAAGGGTGAAACTATAGCATCAGTACTTTGTGGTCACAGTGAGAGACTTGCAATTGCATGGAATTTCGTTGCCCATCCCGATACATCACGAATTCAAGTAACAAAAAATCTTCGTGTTTGTGGAGATTGTCGTAAGTAACCGTCTCAATCATTGATTTTTAATTTTTAATTTTTTTTTGTTTATAGATCGCGCAACAAAATTAATAGCTGCTATTCGGCAATGCGAAATAATTGTTCGTGATGCAAATCGAATTCATTACTTCTATACAAATGGACAATGTTCTTGCAATGATTATTTTTAAAACGACTTTTCAACCTTTTCTTACTTTGATTAGTTCTGTTTTCACGTCGAAATAAAGAAAAAAAATCACTTTGATATAAAAGTATACAATGAAAATTGGATTAGAAATAGATTAATGAAGGCCAATAATTCAATTTGTATAGAATGCCTAAACAGTTTCATTATTATAGATAGTAACTTTTGATTGTCCCAAGAATTGCATAGGGAAGGTGAACTCATGTTCTATCACGAAACGCAATATTACTTTTAAACAAAGACTGTTTTGTAGATTAACAAAAATCTCTCATTTGATGCTTTTATAAACATGAAAAATGCATGCATCTAAAGGGGGGTTACTAAACAGATAGGACTTTATCTTTTTTATTTCAATAGAATGTGATCTATTATTAAGAGACATTCCACGAGAAGACCGAACATCGCGGCCGGGGAAAACATTTTGATTTTGATTTAACCTATTTATTTTGAAAGAGCGTTCATTTTTATATGTAGATCCAAATTTTTTCGATTTAAAACCTCAGAAAAAATTTTAGGCACCAACGACTTTTTTCGTCCACTAAAACGACAAAAAACGTTTTTTAACACCACACGGCTATTCTTACTTTCTGAATATCTTGAGAACGGTTGAAGCCATCATATTCATTTAATAGCTCTTGATTTACTCCACAAAATGCTTAGGATTATAAAAAAGATTTGCTCCTGAAGTTTCGAGTAAAAATAGTGTGAAGGTAAAAAATCATGAAAATTGTTTTTCAAAAAATTCGTTTTTTTTCTCACTTTGTAAATCCAGGTATGAAACCTCCACGAAATTTTTTATAGCATTTTGTAGAGCGTTTCAAGCTGCATCGAACCATAGATGCATAAAGATCTAAAAACACTACCAACAGGTCGAAAAATGACGTGCACTAAAAGCACTATCATGTTTTCAAACATAAAGATGAAAATAATGATGCCAGATCCCATGTCGCCAAAATCGCCTCAATTTTAGTGATTAATCGCTATTTTTATGAAAACCAACGACTAACCGCGATTTTGATAAAAAAATCGCCGATTAATCGCGATTGATCGTCGATTTTTTTTAATCCTTACAAAAGTATCATCTTAAATCGCCGATAATATCGGCATAGGCGATTCATTACAATTAATTGCCGATTTTAGTGAGTAGTAGAAGCAATTTAAATCGAATTGAAGGATAACTTTATCATGCCGATTATATACTTGAGATTTTAACGACTAGAGCACACCCTTCTTCACAAATCTGAATATTGCTGATGTTTACACTTCAAAAATAGAAAAAATACAAGCATGAGATGTTTCGGATAGTGTATAGCTATGCACAAGAGTTAATATTTTTATTGTATATTGCAAAGCTTTTTCGCTTTTTTCTTTGTACCAACATTTTTCTTACACTTAGGCAAGCAGCTAAGCATTGTCATCGGCAAATTAGTCTCCGCTGTAATAGTTGGTATGTTTTCTGTTGCACCAATTTCTGCGTTTGATTTGTTATTATTGATGACAACATTTGTTGTTGTTTCGTATCGTTCTTGTATATGCATTTCCATTTGCCATTCAGTCAGAGTGATAAGACTTTGAATATCGTCGAGATTGCTACGATCGTTTTTCATGTTTAACTTAAGTATATTCAATGCCTTTTTGAAGTAATAAACAGCATCTTGCCATTTTTGCATATCGTAGTAAATTCTACCTATGTTTTCTAAGGATAAAACAATCTCTGAATGTTCCGCATGCAGAACTTTTTGCTGTTTATCCAACGCTTTTAATTGATAGTTTAATGCATCATCAAACAAGTGACACTTCCAGTATAAATGACTGATATCGATTAAACAATAAATGATTACCAAGTCAGTTGGATTTAATAATTGTTCAAAAATAGCCAATGCTTTTCGGCAATAACTAATTGATTCGATGACATTTTGCGTAACATCTCCCATATTTTTTACGATATGACCAATAAATATATTACTTTGCTGTTCGTTATTTAGTTGTTCAATTAGCATTTTTTGACAATACTCTAGAGCATTATCATCTTCACCTGTTTTCTTATAAATATCAATAATTCGATTGAAATCATTAATTACGTTTGGATGAGCACAAGGTAAAATATTTTTATCCATTTCAAATGCACGATGGTAATAAACAAGAGCTTGATCATAATCAAGAAGATCTTCGTACACTAAACCGATATTACCCAAACATGATGCAATATCAGGATATTGTTCTGGTAGTAGTCGTTTATACATGTCCAGTGCTCGATTGAAATATTCTAATGCACTTTTATACTCTTTTTTGTCTCGATAAAGTAAACCAATGCCATTGGTTACAGTTGCTTTTAACTGACAGGCATCATGATAATTGTTATCCAAAATATTCAGAGATTTCTCAAGGCAATACAGAGCTTTTTGATGATGTCCTTTTAGATGAAGAACACAACTAATATTAAATAAAGATGCTGCAATTTGAGGATTCTGAGCATGTAAACTTTGTCGACGTAGAATATATGCTCGTGCAAAACAGTCAAAAGCCAGGTCCAATTGGTGTTTTCCGTAGAAAACATTCCCCAAATTATTGCAAACTGATGCAAAATCTTCATGCTCAGGTGGTAAAGTTTTCAACAACATTCGAAAATACCTTTCAGCCTTATCCATTTGACCTAATTCTAAGAACAACAAACGTCCAAATAAAACCGTTGGACTAAAATCATCCATTTGTTTTCGTTTTGCATTTACATAATCCTGAATATTGAGTGATCTCTCGTCTGTTGCTGTCATTTGAATTTTCCAGCAATACAATTTTGAATCAAACATAACGTTATCAATTTTGAAGACAGATCCTAAACCAAACAAAACCTCTTGTTCACCTTCCATTTGACTGTAATTCTCAATGTCAGCAAATACAATTGTTTGAAGGCGACAATCGACTTTAATTTCGAATAAAACTCGTTTTTGTTCATTTGAATGTGATGCAATAAATCCTAGAGCTACTTGATTATCTCTTGTTGTTGAGAAAAATCCATTTGTTGAAATAATAATGCCAACACTTTTTTTTAATTTATCAAATTCTTCAGTTAACATTGTTTGCCCACGATACAATGTTAATATTTCTGTTTTTCCACTATACAACCGCCGCCATTCATGCTCTAATTGTGAAGATAAATCAACAATAAAAAATCGAAATAGATAAAGTAGCTCAACATCTTCTGTTCTCAGTGCTTTATTCACCAATCGATAAACAAACGAGTCGCGTGTATACCATTCAATAGCTTTATCTTCGGTGTATGTTATTTCAAATTGTTCAATTCTTTTCATTTCCGTTTTATTTAACGCATAATATTCTCTACATTTATCGAGCATATCTCGTTTGGCTTGCTCTGTTTGAGGAATTTGTTTTAAAATATCGATCAATAATTGAAACCATGTGAACGATCCCCAATCTTTGGATACATCACGTGTCGACTTTTGTTTTTGATGATCAAATAAACTGAAAGCAAGTGTTTGTTTCAATACGAAATATATAGTTTTTCGTATAGATTGTAACAACGATTGTTGGTCCGTGAAAATATCGATGACTTTTGAATAATTATTTAATAGTGGAACATTACCTTTATGACCATTGCAAAAAATAAATATCGCAGTGACTACTGCCAATGAATGTAGCTGAGGAAGAACAGACTGTGATAATGTACCAGCAACAATTACAAACACTCTTTCTTTGATGATTGCTCGAATACAATTTATACAAAGTTCGGAATCTGTGTAGAGCAGAACATCATTGTTCAAGTCATCTAACAAAGATTGTGTATGAAGACTATCTGAAGAATCATCGATATTTGAATCTAGCCAAATTAATGTGATATCTTCAAGGTTCTGCTCAATTTCGCTCGGTCGGCGATTACGTTTTCGAATTCTTTCTGTGGACATTATAGTGCATTGTAGTTGGAGGTTTTAGTAGGAGTGATCATTTAATGTTAACTCTACTAAATAAAGGTAAATGAGTGAAAAAACCGATAATTTATTATTTTTTAAATAAAGGCATCATTTATCTTTAGAAAATAAAGATGAAGTAGCCATTTATATTTATTAAATAAAGGAATAAAGGATTCTTTTGTTGAACCGATCAATGAATTGGAAGCAACTGATGCTTTGTCACTATTATTCAGGGATTTTTATTAGAAAAATGGTGGTTGAATTAAAACTAAGATCGTATCCGGAATCAATATTAAGAGCAGAGCTAACTTATGGATTTGTTTTCACCGAAGGGTTTCCCGTCGATCATAAGACGGAACAAAAGAATAATAAATGTTTCTTTCTAATACAGTGGTAGTATAGCTGCCCGGCATATAGAAGACATTGGTTCGATTCCACCGGAGGGAGATTATCCTTTTGTTCCGTTCTATTTATCGAAAAATTCATCTCTGCTTTCCCTCAGAGCTCTTCGAATAAAACACGGACTTCATGAAAAATTGATTTCGACGAGTATCAGTAAGCCCTAAGTTTGTAAAATGATAGTGGAGCCAAAACAGGAGTTTATTTAACCGATTAGAGTTACATTTTCATGAGGTCAATTTTTTACTCAAAGAGCTCTGGCGGGAAGTATGAATGAATTTTTTGGTCAAACTGAAAATATCTAAAAAATATTCGAAACACCCATAAGTTAGTTCCGTTCTTAATGCTGATTCAGAATATGATTTTAGCGTTAATTCAATCACCATTTTTCTAATAAAAATCCCCTGAATAATAGTGATAAAGCATCAGTTGCTCTCACTTCTTAAGGACTTTATTTTCAGTCAAAACAAAATCATTCAATGATAAAAATGTTCCTGAATACAAATTCCACAATCCTAGAATGCTTCCAACCCTATGATCGGTTAAAAAAAAGAATCCTTTATTCCTTTATTTAATAAATATAAATGATTACTTCATTTTTATTTTCTAAAGATAAATGATCACACCAAGTTTTCATTTAGATTAAACCTATTAAGAAACAAAGCTTTATTTAATGAGTACTAGCCTTGAAAGAAATACACTACTAAACACATAAAGTTACACAGATCTTGCTTAAAATTTTTGTTTTTAACTTTTATTTGGAAGCGGACAGTTAATCAAGAAACATTTTTTGCTGAAACAGTTGCCCGCTGCACAAGCTTTTACAATAACTATGAATGAAATAACGACCTAATCATTACACAATAAAATAATCTCGTGCGGAAGAATAATCATCATCATAAAGTACAGAATATACCATAATAAGAGACTCTCATTACATATACAGATCAAAATATTTCTTTTACTTCTACAACAAGTAGTATTGATCTACTAATTGCATATGTACACTGCAGTGCTGAAGCGCTACCTAGATTCACTATTCATTCCTTTCGTCTGTTGCTATTTGAAGAAAAAGATTGGTCGGCAGTGAAAAATGATTGTAACATAAGTATAGACCCCTCGCCCCGCCGCTGTGAAAGAACAGCTTTTATCTACTTTTGCAATTTGTTTAATCTCCACTTCTACCATTTATTGTAGAACTAACTTCTTTTTTGTAGTTGATGCAGCACTGTATTGGAATCTCGTAGTGATTTCATCTTTTTTTGTTAGAAAGAGCAGAGTATCTAATGCAAAAATATATGAATTAGTATCAGTAAAAATGTTTGGTAGATGCTACATAAACTTTAGAATAGTAAGCATTGAAAAATAGTTCCGCAGCTTTTGTGAAAATTTTCTAGTTCGAAAATCTTTGTTTGATCTTTTCTTGAATATCATGCGATATTTTTGAGTATCCTATATATGCAGTGTGGGTGTGGGTGTGTATCTTGCTTATATACCCCCACCCCCACACCCAAGAGCCTTCTTATCACAGTTTCATTCAGTTACAAAAGCTCACACTATTCTCACAATCTAGTCTGTATAATACTCCAGAACATACCTCTAACGTACTCAAACCAATACGATCCACCATCTTCACACATAGCTATTACTTCAACACCACAACGATAATTTATCAATATATAGCTGCATACCTATCTAAACATCTTGTCTTTTTTTAGATGGAGGGCTTGGGGGACTTCTGGATTCTATAGAGCTATAGAATTCATAAGTCTTCCACTCCCCCTATCCCAAAAAAAAACAAAGTATATACATAATTACATATGTAGCTATAGAATTTAGAAATCCCTCAAGTCCAAAAACGGTGTATACATATGTATATAGCTCTCAAATTCAGAAGTCCCTCAAGTTCCTCTTTTGTATTTGAAATCGAGGGTCGTTATTTTTCTTAAAATTCAGTTTGAACTCCTATGGCCCATCGGATGCACGAAAATGTGTCCAAACCGGAATGTGTCATGCTAAAGATGTGCCGTGAACTGTCTGTTAACTATCAATTCACAATTCTCGCTCGTTTACTGAAAAGCACAGTCAACTGTATTGAGCATAGCGAACTTTTCTATTTCTACATATCTTTTTGTAGATAATTTTTCGATTAGTTATTATTCGAGAAAACGTGGAGACATTCATTGAGAACGGACTGCCATGAAGCGGTCTCTTTGAGATCTAACTGACTCAAGACGATTATATCTTGAGATCTTACCGTTTGAATCTCCAAGAACAAGCGTGGGCGTGGAGGATGTGCCGGAACTGAAGACCCACATCCGCTCTCTCCAAAAAATCAAATTAACATTACTTAATTTGAATAAAACTGAACGAATTATACAAGAAAGCAGGCAAACATAGGATGGATTAGTCGAAATGAAACAAAGGAAGAGTAGAAAAGATACAGAACAATACAATATCACGATAGGCGAGTGTTAAAGAAATGCCGGCGAAACTGCACGAAGCGCTCGATATTCTAAGACGGTTACATTTATTTGCGTCGAAAGAACAACCTGAACTTGATATGTTTATCAGTGAACTCGAATTAAAAGTGACTGATCTTTATATTGATTCGACAGTGCATAAAGAAAGTTGTATAACGGATTTTTTCAAAAAGCATTCATGAAACTCAAACAATGGTTAAATCATTTACGTTAAAAGTTTGGCTTAATAATTGATCTTTTACGGATTTGTTCAATAATTTATGTTTTATGAAGTGATTTAATAGTTTATTTTTTGCAAAGTAGTTGTATATAAATTTGTTGGGAATAAATCATGAAATGAAATATTATAAAAATGTGTAATATGCTGCATGATATCAAGAAAGTCATTGTAACGAGGATTCTGAGCCTTAAAAGCAACTAATCAGCGAAAAATTGAAAACCCTCTCGAAAGTGGACACCTCCGTATAGTGGACACATTTTCATGGTCCCTTGTGGTGTGTCCACTATAGAGAGGTTATACTGTAATACCATTGCTTGGCCAAATGTTGCAATTAGAAAAACTTAAATTATCCCTTCTTGTTCATGGTCATATACTTCATGAAACATTTTGTTAATGATATTCTTATGAAAATGTCGCATCTACATACATTTATTTTCTAATAAATTACCTGACGATTTATTTATGACTGTTCGTTACTTAGTGACTATGAATTCATTTCGTTGATTTATTTTGTTTGAATCTCTCAAGTTTTTCCATTACTTAAGAAATTGAAAATAATTAATAGAAATGATCCTATATCTTCAATGATTGAATTTTCTCATCTTACAGTACTCGATCTCTCTATATCTTCTCTCGACTCCATCACACATCTGCCTTGTCTTAATACATGTAAACGTGGTGATCGTAACGAAGAATTTCACAAATAATGCTACTCGTGCTCATTGTTCAAAATTACAACATATTATATTCGATTCGCAACCAGATATATATCCAGAAAATTTTTATGTTTATTTTCCTTCATTGAATTGATTGTAAATAGACTTTCTCGATATAGGTCTGCCACAGTTTGCGAACAGAGAAATTGAGCGGGTATCAATCTCTTCATTTTCTCGTGAAACAAAGTTATATAAGATTTCAAAGAGTCTCTAACTCTCCATTTATAAATAAATAAGAAAACAATATATGGAATCCCATGTTGACGAGCGAGTATCATTATTATGTATGAATCAAAGATCGCGTTTTAAAAACAAACAAAAAAATACAAGTTCTTTGAACAACAGCAATAAAAGCAACACAGTTAGTTGGCTTAGTTTCAACTGAAAAGATAAAAATAGATTATATGAAAGACAAAACAAGTCACAGCGGAAACACGTGTATATATACGATGTATCTATCTTCGTCGATAAAAAAATTTTGTAGAAACAAATGTTGGGCTTGACGGATGGCTATCAACAGTGTCCAATGGTGATGTTGAATCAGCTGGTGATTCAGTCGATAATGAACGAGTTAATGGATTGTGATGATATGATGGGTTATTTCGCGTGAGATTATTTTCCCATGTAACTGTCGATTGTAATAAGGATCTTGGAGATGGTGAAACATTCAATGACTTTTGACGTACAAGTTTTTTCCTATGCGATGAAATCATTGATGCATAGAAATAATTTTGATCTTGAGGATTTCGTCGTGACTAAAAATAGATGATCTCACATTTTATTTTTCATTTGGTTATTTTTCCAAAGAAAAATTTCAATCACCTTGACGTTTTCATTAGTGTTAGTTAGTAACGATTGATTAAAAATAGAAGCACAATCAAATAAGTGCAATCAATGATATTTTTTTCATAGCACAGAAGCACGCGTATAAGAAAATATTAATTTTAGTTATTAGTGCTGTCGTTTACCGAAGCTTGAATTTGATTGCTCGGCCGATTGTTTTGACGTAAAAAGCGTGGTGGTTCAGATACAGTTTTACAAAGAGATGAATGTGTAGGTTCATCGTATGGCGATGCATATTTGGTCGAAGATGGCTTTGAAATCTTTAAACAAAAACAAAACAGACTATTATTGACAGAAAATGTGCAGGGAAAGCGTGCAAGTTTCTGCAATAATACTGACCGGAGATTTTTGTTTGACGATATATGGCAGCGAAGTCGCTTGCGGTGAATTGAACTCATTCGTTAGTGACATGGATGGTTTTGATGGCGACGTTCGCTCATTATTCGCATCATTGATTAATTGTTGAAATGAAAGTAAAGGCAACGAAGAGGAAAGAATGTCTACATTTGTTGTTGACAATGTGTCATTATTATTTCTATGTGGATTGAAATATTTCTTCGGAACAGTTAATGAAACATTAGCAGCAGCAGCAGCTGCCGCAGCTTCGATATCACGAGCAACTTTTCGTTCGCTTAGCCGGCGAAATAAAGACGTATTGTTTTGATATTTCTTATTTAAGTTATTTAGTGCATTATTGCCAGGTGCACTCATTCGATGTTTTAAACAATATGGTTGATGTTGATGAGTATCAATCTGTGGACTAGAGATTTTTTTTTCTGGCAATTGTTGATGACGAATTTTTTGTTTCGATGGTGAGCGACGTCTTCCGCCGATACGTATCTGTGTTTCAGAACAAGGCACAGCGCGTATAGATATTTTTTCGGATCCACTAAGAATTAATTTAACAACCTCCGAATGAAATAGACCAGCAACAGGCTGTTCATTAACATGTGTAATAACATCATTGGGGTTTAAACCAGCTTCTTTAGCTGGTCCTTGAACGGCCACAACAACATGCTGGGTTGTATAGTAATCTGTATTTCCATGAAAAACTTTAACAGCACGTAAGGTAAAACCAAAACTACGTGGACCACGACGTATAATAATAGGTGGTCCAAGACTACTTGCTATTGAGTTTATGAGCGATATTGTTGGTAATAAATATGAATTTTGTTGATTAACTTTAAGAGTTGTATCACGTTCAAGTGGAGAAACAGTCATTTTATGGCGAGGCGTTTGACGACATGATCGATCGTCCTATAATAACAAAACAGGAGGTTGAAAATAATTTGTTTTGAAAATTTACCTGAGTATAATATAGAGCTGGTGGTGGTGATGATGAAGAGGATGAGGATGAGAATGATTTTGATAGTGATCGTGAATAACTACAATTTTTTTGTTGCTGATTCGTATATTTAATTGGTTTATAAGCTGAAGATGAGTTTCGACAATATTCACTTGACATTAATACAATTGGCGCGATTAGGTTTGCTGGTTTGGATGTAATGGGTGATAAAGCTCGCGGTATTCGACTTTTCTTATGAGGACGATATGTACTTTTTTCTTGCTGATAATCATCTCCACTATCGATTGAATTGTGTTTTTCAAAATTTTTACGCTGCTTATAATGTTTAGTTGTTGTTGATGTTGTTTTCTTCTCGTCGACATTCGTTATCTTTTGAGAAGATGAAAAAGACGAAGATGATGAATTGCGTTTCTTTGATGAAGATTCTGATTCATCTGAGGAAACATGCAATGCTTCAAATGTACCCGAACCAAACGGAGTTTGAAGCGTAGGTGATTCAACTAAAATCATAGAATTGAATTTTATTTCAAGAAGAATTTCGGAATGACAACAACAAAAAAAAACGTTCTACTTTCAAATGCTAAATTATTTTTGTGAATAAATGCCTTATTAAACGTATGTCGGTAGCGTCTAAAGAATAAATGTTGACTGATCTATTCGAATTTTACGAGAAAATATAGGTGCTGATGGTTCGATATCTAGTGTTATGTTAAAATGTATGACTTCGTCTGTAAGAGTAAATGTAACAAATTACCTTTTTCATCGGTCATTGATTTACTCATGAGAAGTGGTTGAAAATCATCGGATGAATCGATCTGAATAATATGAGTTGAAATAAATGAATCTATACATGAATTAGCTCTGAGAACATTCTTCGGTGGTGTTGAATCGTTCTCTTGTTTATTTGTAAAACGCTGCTTAGAGTTGCCCGATAATTCAGAAACATATTTCAATGGAACTGATGAAAATGATGCAAACAATGAATCGGAATCATTCGTATGTGTTGATGATGAATTACCATCATCATCATCGGAATGATTATAACGATCTTGTCTCGTATCAAAATAGGATGTATCATCCGGTGATTCTAATACGGGTACAAAATCAGCTTTTTCACGTAATAACGTATTCCAATTGATAGACGAACAAAATGAATGTGAACGAATGTCATGAGCGCCACCTAGCGTACCTAACCGCTTTGATGGGTCGTGTTCAAGTAGTTGTTCAATTAAATTTTTCGCATCACGACAAACTAATGTGTCCAGTGAATCATCGTCGTCAATATCAGATGTTAATTGATCCCAATCAATTTCTCCGCTAATCACATTTGCAAATAATTCATCGGGTGTATTCCCTGTAAACGGTGGCATACCAACGAGAAATTCATATAAAATGATTCCCATACTCCACCAATCGACAGGTTTACCGTAGCCTTGTCGTAATATTACTTCGGGAGCTATGTATGAGGGTGTACCACAGATTTGTTTGTCATTAAAAGTTTTCGTTTCTTTATCAATAAGTTTCTCGTAGAAACTCGTTGTCAACGACATAAGACCGATTTTTGATAAACCGAAATCCGTCAGTTTGATATGACCGACAGCTGTTATTAGAAGGTTATCTGGCTTAAGATCTCGATGAATAACTCCATAGGAATGTAAATATTCAACAGCTAATGTTGTCTCAGCAAAATACATTCGTGCAATATCAATATTTAAAGGTCCACCAATATTTTTCAATAGAGTAGCGACATCACCGCCTTCAACATATTCCATGACGAGACAAAGATTATTTTTTGTTTCGAATGTACATATCAATGCAACAACAAATGGATTATCTGTAAATGTCATTATGTCTCGTTCAACAAACGCTTGCTCGATTTGATTACGTAGAATCAAATTTGATTTCGAAATTCTTTTCATTGCATAACGTTCCAGGGTTTGACGGTGTTTTACTAGATGAACAGCGCCGTAGGCACCATTAGATATTAATTTAAGAACTTTGAAATCCTCTTCACATGGACCTTTTATAGACGATGAACGTTCACGAGGTGGAAATGCTGTGTTAGCTGTAATTGTTAAATAATTGGAATCTGTCCTGGATTCACATTCACTTTCAGATAATGACAGCGCTGTAAAGCTTTCTAATTCATTATGAGTTGCTTCATCGGCCTAAATAGAATAATGATCCTATTAACTGTTCTCCGTAACATCAGAAAGGCTATGCAAATTTGGTTATCTCTCGATATTGAGTTTCTCATTTTCAAGATAGTGTGTCAGAAGTCAATTGATTGTTCACGTTAGATTGTTTAACTTTATTTCAGTTGCGTACAGCGTACTTCAAAGTTAATATTACCTATTGTTGATGAGTTTATTCTATGCAATATTTCTATGAAAAATATTCATATCGGAGGCAGTGATTTAAATTACATACCACGTAAGCTGTTTCCTTCCTCTTTTCAATGGTATATATCCGAGTTGGAAAAAAGGGTTTTTTTTCTTTACATGACATCGTTCGTTCACGATTACATTATGCAAACAATGTTTTTTTTTTCAAAATTCTATAAAAATAAGCTTAATTAATAGAACAGATTTTTTATGACAAAAAAGCCTTTTATGACTTAGAATTTAATTGTTTTCAGTCACAACAACTAAATTATCTGTGATAGAATGAAAACTGAAACATATAAACCTTATTATTCTGACCATTATCTTTCACAAAAAAAACTATAGAATTCCAAGTGGATTGTCGTTTTTTCATTTGAATTGGATGAAGGAAATTGACTATGATGGTTCTCCGTATACTACAAGTTCGAGGAAACAGCGTCATCGAACGAGCAATATTTATCACACTCATTTATACTATTCGACAGAGGAAGGAAAGAGCTTTCATTTGTTATAGAAGTCCAATTAAAGGAATTGACGCCGAAAGGAAAATCGTTCATAGAAATATTGCGCAGTGTGTACTCATACATAATAGAACATGCCGAGTTCTGAGTTTGTCACAAGCAACCGGAATAAGGTCTAACTGTTGAAATCAAACGGCAATTGACTTCTAACATTTCTAAATAAAATATGAGGAAAACTAGAAAATTTAATTTTCAAGCGAGGCGGTTTTTCGCTAGGCGTCGTCGTCGTTTACAATTTACATTCATGAAAATTCTGTTTCATAATCTTAATTACCTGTAGACCATCGATAAGATCAAGAGGGTTTCTGTCAAGATTAAGTTTCGAACAAATATATTTCGGTATATCGTTTTTAATATTAGCAATTGTTTTTGCTTGACATTCAACTTCATCTAGCGTACGCAAAAAATCTTCCGGATCAAACTGTAAACATTCCAGAAGACTTGCTGATCGTGCGATAATCAAAAGAATTTTTCGAACAATTGTCTGTAGATCTTCAACGGCTTGTGGACATTTTTCTTTCGTATTTAATAATAATCGTTCAAGATTAACCGTCATTTCATTGAAATATAGCGTTGTTATTAAATCATTATTCGATTTTTCTAAGCAATCTTTAGCTAATTCAACAATTTGATTATGTATAAAACGAGCTGAACCATCAGAACAGTAATCAAATTTATCGACTAATTTATATGTATCAATAAAATTATGTAAGCGCTCTTCCATTTGTATTTTGGCTTTTGGATAACGTTCTTTGTAGATAATTCCCATGGTATTCATGTCTTGATCGGGTACAGTCATTAATTTATTTGGTATCGATGAAATAGTTGCATCGAGTAATGACATTGATATCGAACGAGATTCTAGCCGTTGTAAATCATCATAGAGATTAGTATCCAACTGTTGTTGTCTGCATGTGCATGTATGTTGTTGATGATGTTGAAGACGTTCGAATGATGAATATTGAGAACTTGGCGGTGATGTTGTACCATAACCACTCGACGATGGAGCAGACGTTAATGACCAACGGCGGTCAATATCATTATCGAGTGTATATGAATCTTGATTTAGATCGCAATTTATTGCACAAATATTTTGCTGAGGAGATAATTGTTTTCGTAATGCATGTTTTAAATTAATTAAATTTAAACCGGACAATATTGGGCGACGTACGCTTGAACGACGCATTAAGAATTGTAGAGTGTTGTTTGTTGCTACGGTTGATGTTCGCGGAGAAGTTTTTACCGATCGTGATGTTTGATAGGATGAATCCATTTGTATCGATGTTAAATTTGGCTCCGATTGGCCTAATCGAAAGCGGCGAGACCGTAGCAAATTTATTGTTTGCTGATTTTGTTGAATAATATCAGATGGTTGACAATTATTCGATTGGCATACCATCCAACTGCGACGACGTAAACGTTCTTCAAGATGTTTCATTGTGTTTTGCTCTCGATAACGACTCAAATGTTGGCCAGAACAAATCGATGAGCGCTGATGTGATGGCAATGTTTTTATTGATTCATTGCCATCAAATTCATCGACATTCAATAGATGAAAATTAGTTGTTTCATTTGACATTGATGGAGTACATATTGCATCGGCATCTGGCGAAAAATAAAACAAGAGAGAGTGAGAGAGATTCAGAGAAAGTTTATTCTCCTGGTATTTTATGACCTTTTCTTTTTTTTTACTGTTATTATTATTATTATTATTATTGTTGTTATGGGTCAAAAGATTTTTGTTTTTTAACACAAGAAACAAAATACACCAGAAATCTATTTACCTGAAACAACAACAAATAACTTTTGAGGCTTTTCTACGTTATCATCTCGTTTGGTTCGACTGCTGATTGATATTTTTGTTAGCGTTGAGTCATCGTCGTCTATCGGTGTTGCATTTTCCGATATGATTGTGGCCTGTGTATGACTTGGTGTCAGATGCGGTTTTTGTCTTGTTATCTGTTTATCATCATCTTTATTCAACGGTAAAAATGACATTGCTATTGATGATTCTGTTAATGTTTTCTGTTTCGATTTCTGACTAAAGAGTTTTCTCATAGTAGTCAGAGAAAAAAACTAGCGAGAGCAAATTTATGTAACAATATTTGGTTGATAAGCTATTGTTAATAAGACAACAATGATAATATATCGCGTTTTGTCGTCATAATTTATATGCAAGGTAATTTTTATGACTCAAGCTATAGATGACAGGTAAATAAGAATTATGTATTCTCTGGTGTTTTGTGATTTTGTTTGACTAGAATAATTGCCTGTGTTTCATCCATTTCTATCATAAAAAATATAAACAAAGAAAATATAAATATGCGTCCATGAAAGCTTCTATTGTATAAATAGAACAATAAGTAGATGATCGCAAATAGTAAAAACACACGCCGTTAGATAGTTGACGATAAAACTATACTCGCTATAGACACATTCAAATCATAGAAGAAGAAAAAAAAATAAAAGAAATAGCAATCTTCATATCAAAACCAAGGATGATGAACGCAGTCAAAATATGGGGCGTGTGTGTACGGTAAAAAAAATTCTTTTTTTCTCGCTTGTTTACTCTCGCTTGCCCACATTTGTTTTTGAAGAGTGGGTTGCGTTCTCTCTTGCTTCTTTTTTTTTCTTCTTCTTTTCTCACTCGACATCCTTTGAGGAAAAATCAGCTGTCGCAATTCTGATGTCTATAAAAAAAATAAAGCTAGACAAAGATAAGTATCAATACGTGAGGCAAATATTTTATCCGATGGAATAGACAATTAAAGACACACATAATAACTAGATTATACCACCGATAAAATGAAACGCGAAGTAACACATACGTTCGTGTTTTGTTTTTTGTTTTCTATAAGTATTATTGCTAACCCTTCCTTATCGCAAGAAAGTATCTTCAGTTGTCTGCCACTTAGGTCGCTATGTAAAAAACAAGGCGGCAAGCAAAATATATAATATGGTGATTATGGTTGACTACTTAGAGAGTTTTGAAGAAGAAGAAAAACTGAATAATCAAGCCTCTCAAGTTCAACATAAGTGATGATATTGTGCAGACGCCAAGCAAGATGCTTGAATAGAAGAGTTGGGAAGGCTCGGAAGTAATTTTTGGTTGTAAGATAGAAGCATAAGCAGTTAACAACTTAGAATTGCTCGTAAATATATATATATCACGAGATATTTTTAGATCGATTGTATGACTTAGATTCTTATTCGATAGAATAAATATCAAATAATAATAATAAAAAAGAAAATATTTTACGGTTGTGCCCCATTAATAGTCGATAATCATAAAACTCATTTTATTTATTACTTTTGCGATGAGGGTCGCCATAATTGTTTTGAGAGAAAAGAAAAACCAGAGCAAACACATTTTCATTTAGCTTGCAATTCATATTCGTTTAGCCTGAATAATAAAATAGGTTGAAACAAAAAGAATACATTAAATATCAACAATTCCATATGTCATTTCATTCTTGTTTGTTTCAAGAAATAACTATATATAAATAGTTTTGTATTCAAAACGCGTCGCTTATTGTTCATGTGAATTGAATATACTTATCTATTAACAAGCAAAAGACTAGATTATCTACTTATATCTTTTTTTCTAATAGCATTCATTTATTATTAAACCGTGCATTGTTAGCCTTTTTTTCTTCCTGTTTTTCAAGGATGTTTGCTCTTCTTATCGTGAGACAAAATTCTAAACTAGTGGTTATATGATACTTTAAAATTGTTTGATGAAAATTAATTTGCTATTTTTTGTTGTTCCTAATCGCATTTCTACGCCGACGATTGTGCATGGATTTTGCCTTTTTCTTTTTGGCGCATTGCGCGAAACGCATATTCTCACGCGTAAGCAAACTAATTAAGAAATGCATCATTAGAGAAAATGACGAGCCAAGAAGGCAATCATGTATCTGTCTTAATCAAGGACATGCATGTTTATTTTTATTTTTCGTTGACTTTTAGATTCGCATCTATATGCAATGAATTTATTTTATTTTCGACAACGATCTGTATTATATCGGCTATAAATCTATTTGACACTAACTGGATACATTGTATTTTTTTTTTTGTTGTTGTTGTTGTCTAGATGAACGACGAACGCTGACGTCGTTTATTTTAATAGTCTTCTAGTAAGTTATCTTAATAGTAAAAACGTTAATAACTTTTTTTCTTCTTCTTCTTCTTATTTTCAAGCTACGGAAAGAAAGCATACTCGATCAAATATCATTCATTGCTTTTACACCCACGAGCATAAATGATGTTGACAGTTTTTTTTTCTAGTTTTCTATACTTTTCATCTCAACATCTTTCGCTTTCCATGCAACAACTCTCGTATGAGACACTTTTTATAATTGATGCAAATGTTATTTGTAATGCTGCTGATGATTTTCACTAATGATGTATCATTCTACGTTTATGCGTATTTATGTACAGAGACAATATTAACTAGCATCAAAAGAAAAAACAAATAGAAAGCAAGGAAAGCAATGAAAAAAATTCTTTCTTTTCTTTTTTTTTCTATTTTTCTTTCTATGCCATCTCAAAATATACTTACCTGTCGTCTCATCAGATCGAACTAAAGTACATAGTATATGTCTTTTTCAACTCGTATTTTTCTTTCTGTTTATTTTTATTGACGTAAAAGAAAAAGATCATGGTACTTACTTTGATCAACTTAAATCGAAAAACAAAAACTAATCGAGTTTTTTACAGGCTTGATATCTACAACAATCTTCCGTTCTCTGCGTCACGCAGAAAGAAAAAGAAAGTAAAATGAAATATCGTCAACATAAGGATGTTTCTTTCAAGTATTTAAAAAGGAGAAGAAGAAGAAGAAAAAAGAAGTATTAATGCAACTGTTGAAACACCTTATGCTTATGACAGTAATGTTCGTTACACTTTTTCTTTTAGTCTAATCAAAAAGACAAAAATAATTCCATTATACGCGTCAAAGTCGTTGTCGCCGCGCCTATAACTATAATATATTCATACGTGTTCAAAGAAAATATTTCTAGCTGTGACATGATCATTAAAAAAAAAGCGAAAACGATTGGTAGTGCTATGCTCATATGATTTCTTAGCTTGTCAGGGACTAGAAAACTCTATAAAAGTGTCGTTTTTAATTTATATCATAAATACTTGCATTATTCATTTGATTAATAAGTGCAATTGAGCACGGAATAAAGTATTAATTATATTCAACACATGTTTACTGGTACTATGCATTTTTATTAGTAAACTGAATAAATATAGCTGTAATACTCCAGTTATCTATCGAAATAAACCTTTGTTTATCAATGTTAATCGGTCCGGAAATGGTGGATGGGCGTCAATAGAAGATTAAGTTTTTTCTTCAGTGAAAAAACTCACAGTATGAGGCACGAGAAGAATACTTATCGTCATGTTTTTGTTTTTGAGATAAAACGAGCTTCTTCAGGTTCCCAGCAGTGTCAATTAATGGTTAGATTCTCATTAAATCTAGCGATACAGAAAGACGAAATCTAGTAAGTCTACAGGGTCTCTCTATATACTTATCCAACGAATACGATTTGTCAGCACTATAAGACACGAGTTCTTTTTGAATTTGAAAAAGAAAAGCAATATTCAAGACGACAGTATTTTGTTTTTGGTAATATATCCGATTTCTATTCGTTTTGATAACTGACTCATGATTTAAGAAAAAAACAATCCGTCGTCTGCATGAAAATAAATCTATTGGATAACATACGGTTAGTAATTTGTGTTACCAATCGGTCGCCATTTCATATTATGAAGATATATGAATTATAGTATAGATGAATAATTTAAAAACATCGCTTTTTTGCTTTCATCTATTTGGAGTGCTCTCAATGGCCTTGAATAATTTATGTGCATTTATTGAATTTGTGTTGTCTTGTTTTCAATACGCGACTATTTTGTAAGAATAGAATGTTTTCCATCTATTCTGTGTAGAATAGAAGAAAAAACGATGGCTGTAATTCAATATTTATGCTTCTCGAATTGATTGCATCTATTCATTTCTTTTATTGTACACATTTCTCAAGCACAATTGAGGAAGAAACTCTTCCTAAGAATTCTGGCATGCCAAAGACTTCGTATTGATGGACATATAATCCGAGTGTGTAGGGCATCAGTTGTTATTGCATTTCTCGAGGAGTACCTTACAGGAAGGTGAAGAAATACTCACTGTTATGAATAGAATAAAAGAAGCATTTATCTAATTAACAACAAAATTTTTTTTTTGACATTTTATTTCCCCAGGGTTCACGTTAGAAGCCAACGGATCTACTAGAAAAGATACGAAATAGAACATTTTCTTAATCTATCATATGCAGAAGTTAACTGAAGATTGAATCACGGGTTTATTATTGTGCAAAACAAAAATGATATTTCGAATTCATAATTAAATAGTTAATTCCTCTTTTGTTTGCACGATTGAATATATTTTTTGAAATTTACTTGATAATAGAAATCTGTAGGTTGCCATTCAATGGATAAATAATAATCCATTCGTGATATTTATTTTGACTTACGTTTCTTCCTATTTCTGGACGATATGGATCGAGAATGATTAATTGAATTCTTTTTATTATTATTATTCTCATATTTACAAATAACATATGGTAACACTGAAGAAATAGAAAATAAAATTTGTGCTGCAAATTGCACGGTTAGAATACGACGCACTTTTATTCTTACTTAAATCTAGTTTTACAGCGCTGCTTTATTTTTGTTATAAATCTTGCTGTTTTTAGAGAATGTTGCTAGACTAATCAGTCTGCTCATTTCAAACGCTGCATTATTAGCATGTCAATAGTGAAATAAATATCCCAAGATTAATAAAATATTCAAAATCCATTGAGACTTGAGACAATTTCTATGTCGAATAAAATATGTGACCAGTATTTTCTGCACACTGTTTTTCTTCGATTCAAGTACTTAAAATTGAAGTGATATATGCAACTCGTTTTCTTGCCAATTAAACATGAAATTTTTCTGTACATAAATTATCCACACTGAAAAAAAACCGGCTATGTTGAGCTAACTTATCAAACTAATCACGCGAATGAAATCCTTGAAATTTCGAACGGCCGAAAAATGAATATGCAGGAGTTTTTGTTCAATAGGAAATATTGACCAAAGCATATTTTTCTTTATTACTTGAATATTTTTACGCACATTAATGATACTTTAGCATTTATGAAATCTTACAGGAACTTTAAATAGTCTGTATTGTCTCATGAGCAAATATGATAAAACTTGATTAATAGTTTCGAAAGTCAATACATGCATTCGTGCGAACCAAATCCATTGTAATTTATCGCGAACTGCCTCGTGACAAGAGTCGGATTTTAGGAAAGGCATGCATTTAATGTAATATCTAAAAATATAGCAATCCAGATCTAAATTATGGGTGTGGGTGTGGGTGTGAAGAGAGGTAAGAACACCTATACCCGCACCCACACCCTTGCACGAAAAATTACTTGTTATCAACGAGAATCAGCATAAGTGACCTATAAATAATGTGAGAAAAAAAAAATCTTTGCCATGATGAAATCTCGAGTGTCGATGATTTTGAAAATTAATCATTTCATTTATCAACAATGCATCGATAAAGCAAAGTTTGTATGAGAAATCTATTCTTTGGGGAATCTCGAATGATCCCTATGATTATTATCCAGTAGTGTTTGTAAGCAATATCTCGGTTCAAAATTCAATAACGTTTACTACAGAAACAAATAGAATATTGGATTTTCTTACGTCTTTTTATTTGAATGTTTCTCGTTACAACTTAGCAATGATTTATTATAGGTATACAAGTTTAAACATGAACAATCGCAGGAAAATGTTGTTGTTTATATTGAAGCATTCGTAGTGTTGCCGAAAGTGAAGGTTTGAGTGGTATTTTATTTGGTTGATAACCAATTAGAAATGATGATGATGATGAAACTGACGATTTTTTTATTCGTGTATTGATTGAAAACTTCGATTGGTAACGATTAACTAGGAAATAATTGTTAAAAATATTTATTTTTAATACTTCAGTAAAAGTCTACTTTTCGTCGTTGAATTTATTTCATCGTTGAACAATCTCATGCATTTACTAACAAATGAAAATATAAGAAGAACAATCAATAGAATAACTGTAAGAAGACCAATGCAGATAAGAATAGTGTGAATTTCATTGTTGAATTCGATAGAAGCTGTAAATAGATAAAATCTATATTAATAAAGATCAAATAGTTCATCAAATTTTATTTCGAAGTAGAAAAATGTCGACATGATCTTTCTTAAATTAAAAATTAGCCTAATTTCTCGCTACATATCACAGACGTTGATAAATGAGAATTTCTATTAATAAACATGTTGTACAAGTATTTTCATTCCCATAGACTTAATGTGCAGCCTATGGAAAAATCTCAATCATCGTTCATTTTAGCATCCAGAGAAGAAGAAGGAGTAGGAGAAAAAAACGAGAATCAACAAACCGCGATCGTCTTCGTAAGATGATAAAATTTGATCGAATGAACCTGTTGGTAATGCAGTTTTAATCATTGTATTGATGACATGTGTATATCGTAACTGCGTCTAGTTTGGAGTGTCTGTTAAAACAAAATCATAAATGTATAATCTACACTACTGTTCTTTCATGTCGACGACATAAGTAGTTCGACAAGGTGAATAAAGGCAGTAACACAATGGCCGAGAAGAAGAAAAGATGAAGACAAACAATGATTTCAACGTTAAATGTTGTAATGGCACGCGTCTAAAAAAACTTGACCTTCATCTAATAGTCAGACATAGTATGACTAAAATTTTCATTTTTTTTCGCTTTCTTACAATAAATGTCAATAAATTGATAGCAACATGATTTTCTTTTTTTACTTGTATTTATTTTACATCCAATTAAGATCATATTACATATAGATCGGAAAAACAGCAATGGTTTTAAGTAGAAATTAGTGAAATGAGAAAATTTGAATAAAACTGTTTTGAAGAAAATGACCATTTTCATTGGTTAATTCGTGTTGGTTTTCGTTTTCTAACGTTAATCGATTTGTTGTTGCATTGAATAAGACGCTGTTTCAATTTTTTGATTTTGACAAATCCTTTCTGGGTAATAATCATATTTGTCTGGAGTTCATATCGATTGTATTGCTGACTACAGAATTAACAATACTACCATTGCGAGTAAAATGACGCTGTTTTCGTTCCATTAAATGTAATTCAATCAAACAATTACGCACATCATTAATAAAAATACTTCGAAATTTTCTTTCAATCGAACAATAAAGAAAACAATTTACAACACGTGACAAATCCGATAATACGTCTTGTAGGACAATGATGTATAGATATATTTTATATGATGTAATATCACTGTCTCGAACTTCAGTACATAAACGCTCGTGTAATAATAGTTTTCTACCGATAATTCTCGAGAAAAGTGACATGATGGCATTCGGGATGTTTAATATAATTAATGATAATGTGACAACTAAAACATTCGTGTTACTTGACGTGTATCGGCTATTACCGATGAACTTTTCGAAGATGGCAATGGGTAAACATTCGGTAGAAATTTTTTATCCATGGTACTCATGGTTGAACTTCGTAAATCGACTTTCTCATCAGCGACAAACCAATCAAATGGTGTATGAGATACACGATGTAGAGTGACAGCAATAAGAATATTTACAGTTGTAGCTAAAGCTAAAAAAAAATAAAAATAAAAACATGCAATTTTCGCTGTATGTCAGACAGAAGACTTCTCGATAGGACATTTTGTTCTTTGTAGGAATAAACTTTCAATTACTCGATTAGTTATTTTTTGGGACATCGGAAATTCAGTTAGACGAAGGTTTTGGGAAAACTTCCCAAATGTAAATATTTAAAAAAAGAGTGGTTGCTACTTGGAAAACTTCCTTTTCTATTCGTTTTTAATATAATTCGAGTCTAATTAAGGTGTCTTTTTTTGAGTGGCACAGTCAGACGTATCATTTTCTGTCTCGATGTAAATAGACAAAATCGAATTTCAGAAGTAATCTATTCAACTGAACGAACACCCTCTAGAGATTTTTATTTCTGAACTAGCTCGTGCTCATATTTGATCCTTTAGTTCTTGCTCGAGGGAGAAACTCAAACAGACTAAATTGCTTAAATAACCGATAATATTTATAGGATAGTATTCACGATTAAATAATTGCTCATCGATGCGGTTTTTTCAGCTTTGACACTTCGTGATTAAGAAAGCAAATAAAAAAAGTAACTTGAATGTTTATTCAATACTATGTATCATTAAATAGCTGACTGGTACTCTTGTCAATATTTCGATACTACATATGTACGGTGTTTGCATTCAAATTCTACAGCAAAAAATGAATGAATGCGATTTTAATTACCGGACGAATCTTCAGTAGGCATGTTTAATGTGCTGAGCATTGTTTATGAGGGAGAAAACAAAAGTCTAAACTCAACATGCTAGAAAATATGAGTAATTACCGGTGACAGTGAGAAGATGTTTTTCTGTAAAATCTACTTTATAAGTAATGTCAACGTCAGAATGAAAACAAGAACATAATTGGATACTCATCAATTGTCTTTCACATAAATGTTGCAATAAACTTTAGAATTCATACCGTTGTTAATGACTTCTTTGGCACAGACTTCAATATAAATTGTTCATGGTTGACCCAACCGATCTGTGTCAAAAGTGATCTACTTCAGATTTTTCGTTTTGTTCGTACACGCTTTAAAATAGTTACTCGTGATATTAAAAAATCATCTATTGTCCCGAAGGTTACACGATTTTTTCAAGTATTATATTTAAAAAAGTCGAAAAAATCAATCTTTTATCTACAACAAAATCAGTCTCTGCTTTTTGCATAGTAGAAACTTCAATGATTTCGTAAGCATTTCGGCACCGAATGCAAATCTGTCTATTGCCAACAGAAGTTTTATTATTTTTCAAGAACGTAAAAAATCTGCATCCTACACCACAATAGGAACACTAATTTGAAATTATTTTTAGTATCAATTTCTCATTGTTAAGCACGCTAGCACTTTAGAATTCTATCAATAGATTTCAAATGAGAAACCATTGTTAATGTCTATTTACGTATTAAATGCATCAGAGATAGATCAAATAGCCTTAATGTTTTTTGAAAAATCAAAGGCGAACGAGACTCCCGTTTGGCTTAGTTGTTATTTGAGATCTCTGTTATAGATATGGTAGATTCTATCTCATGCTCTTCAACCATATTGGATTATCATATTGCTTATTATAACATGTTGGCAGAATTCCTTCGAGACTTGAAATAATTGTGTGAATAACTTTTTTTTCTCGTTCTTTGACGCCTTTCCTATCTTATTATATGTCACAAGGATAATTTAAGTAACACTCTATCGACATAGACAAGAATACCCACCAATAGGCAAAATCGAAGCTGTAGTTATATCGATGATTAACGAATATTTAATTAAACCACAAAATACTCGTTGGTTATTTGCTGGACCAACATCCGCTAATTTTATGAAAGGTGAATTAGCCAATGCAAGTATAATCACTGCTAAATAACAAATGTAACATGCTCGTTTTTGTGTTAACTATATATTCGATTTTAGTGGATAGATAAGAGAAATTGTTTTATCACTAAAAATAAATAATATATGCATAGTTCATCTCTAAATTCTCGTCTATTTTTCAACTACTTACACACTCATTAAAACAATGATCCACATAGTGATGGAATAATACATGCATTCATACATACATAAAGTGTTTTGCAAAAGAAAGGCGTCATAAAGCTAACATCTCGCATTTTTACAATGGATTGATAGTTAATTTCAGCTCGTATAAATTTAAGTGTTATAGCTAATATATCGAATACGGCTAGAAATCGTAGAAAAACAACAGTGATAGATTTATTTGATAATCTTGACCGTGCGAGAACAAAAATGCAAAGTGTATTAAGTAATATGCTGGGACTAATAAGTACACGTAAATATGTTCCCATACGTAATTTAAAAAATAAATAATCATATGTATAAACCAGAGCTAGGACGAGTACTTTTGAAGAAAAAAAGTACTTAAACAAAAACGTTTTTGCCAATTCGGAATAGACCCATACCCAATAGGCTCATTTTGTTCACCATAACNTATACTGCAAAAATCACCTGTACTTGAAAGTATTTGCGATTTTTGCAGTATTGCGCGCTTTTCTGTAGTACAGAGATTGTACATGAATTATGTATCAATGTATCTGATAAAGGTCGTTAAGGTGAACAAAATGAGCCTATTGGGTATGGGTCTATTCCGAATTGGCAAAAAATTTCTTGTTCAAGTACTTTTTTTCTTCAAAAGTACTCGTCCTAGCTCTGGTATAAACACAATCTTTCAACGAACAAGTTGATATTATTGATGATGAATCATTCACCGTTGAATCTATTCGTATAGACAACATAGGATTCATGTTTATGAGATTCGACTAATATAATGAAGCTTGTTACTGGTGAAAGTGAAAGATTAGAATAACAGTTGTAAATGCCGAAGAATTCTTTTTCATCTAGGATATATATAAATTTTAATGAATGTCTTTATAGAGAAAAAAGTATTATTTCATGGGTATGTTCAAACGCACAGGCCGCAAATATCAAGAAATGGAGTTTATAAATAGTTCAACTGGCCTATATCGGCTGAGAAAGATAATCTACGAGAGAGATGTTTATCTTGCTTGATCCAATTGGAATTTTCTATGAATGTCAAATCAGAAAACAACATCGGAATAAGATGTTTATAAGGTGTCTTATCCTTTAGGCTGTACTTTATGATGAATAAATCGAGTCGACTATTATTCCGGCTGATAAAAATAATAACAAAAATTCGTTATTTTTTGGATAATATGATTAGTATTGACCACATGTTCTTAAAGAGCTGCATTCTACTTATTATTTGCGAGAAATCGCATTAACCAGAAGCTACAATGAGTTTTTTGTTTTGTTTTTCGTGGTTATTTTCTGTTAGGATTGAAAAAATCTTCAACTAATTACTGTAAAATATTTTCTTATTCTCCACACGCGAAGTAAAAGAAAATTTATTTTCGCAATCATGTCGGACAAAAAACTAGCAGTCATGCTTTACAGCACCTAGAGCGATCAAAGTTCGCAGGCTGCACATTTTATCGTTGTATGTGTCCGTTCTAAAAGAATGTTATGAAGACATTTTTACAAGCTCATTAGAATCTAGGGAGTCAAAATCAAAATTTTCACATAAAAATTTCAATGAGTTTCGTAGAAAAACATTCTCACACAAAAATTTTGAATTCATCACGTGTTATGCTGTAACATAATAAATGGCACACGACATCTTTTTGGTTTTTCATAAAAATGAATCCCCTTTGGTACCGATAGAATTAACATCGTGTGTCTTTCTAATTAGTCTATAATTTTAATTTACAGTTTTGCTTCTTTTCTTCTTTTTTAAGATATATTATGACGGACTATCACACTGCAGCATTAACAAAGTTGCTTGTAAATGTTGTCATGCAGAAATAACAGTTCATCATCGCGAGTCAGTCTATTTATTCTCCAGTCAAGTGTATTCGATGTCTATCGTAATCTACACGTGCATATTATATCGGCTATTGTAATTAGATGTTTCTCCGGATGATTTCTAATGGCAGTTTCGAAGCATAATGTCAAATTATAGAAAATAAATGGTAATCTTCCAAAGCAACTACCCTAGTCAATAAATAACGATGTTTAACCGGATTTTGTATTACATACATCTATGCTTAAGCATAAATTTTCTATGAGTTAGAAAACTGAAAAAAAAAGAAATAGCTGTTAGATTAATCCGTAAAAATGCATTATTTTAATTGGAGAATGAGACTCGAGAACTGTTTTGTCGAATGCACAATAACATGAAACATCGTAAACATAATATCCCAGTTTTTATTTCGAGTGACCAATTATTCGTAGGAGTTTAGACATTCAAAAAAGCGTATACTTTTTTTTTCAAGGTCATCCTGCGACTCTTCAGTTAGCAGGGACCACTAGAAACTGCATGTCATGCTGTTGTATTCAAAAGAATAACAAGATAATTATTGTTCAATGGCTTCCTATTGAGACAGATTCTGCGATCCACTCCCAAGGTTGATATCAAAAGTTTATTTATTGGAAATGAAAAATGATATATTTGAGGTTGTTTTGAAAGGAATTAAACTAAATGACTTTATCGTTTATTCTATCACAAGGAAGTAGAGAAGATCATAAAACGTAGACACCATATGTTGCTCTTATTGTGCAGACCAGCCACCGTCAACAGGTATTGCCGCTCCAGTTCTAAACAAAGAATTGATTTGAGCCATAAATATTTGGAAAAAAAGAAAAGGTTCTGATCGATGCTATTTATGTGTTTGTAAGAAAACATTAAAAATCAGAATGACTATTATCGATGGGTGTTTTGTTTTGTTTGGATGGATACGTGAATAGAATTAAACAAAAAGCATTATTATGTTAAAGCAAGACACGTCCAGTTGATAGAAAAAATAGGAAACACAGGTGGATTTCAGTCGGAACTAAAAAATAATAGAATTTATTCAACCATTCTGACGGCAATGTCAAAGTGAGCCTTTCAATCCTCGACTTGAATTTTTCAGAAAAGAATCGTTTGTTTCTTCGTCGACAATATTCTATAAAACATTTTTGGTATAAGTAGTAACAAGCAAACTCTTGTAATTGTAGACTATAAAGAAAAACGATAATGACGCAATTTATCATCGAAGGTATTCGACGCGCAATATAAAAAAAGAGAGTAGACATGCCAATTGGAAACATCTCTCTGAACATCGACTCCAATTTCATTTGCATATTTTGATTAGAGAACACTCAGGCACCATCTTTTTGAAGAATGTCATAAATCATTTTGTGAAAAGCAAATAATTTACTTGTCGAATCTACGCAAACGTGCAGCCTTAAACATGCGATGTGAGTATTCACATGTTGTTCAGATGACCTTAGTAAGAAATGGCGAGACACAGCACGCTTGCAAACTAGAACAAGCGTTAGTAGAGTAAGAGGAAAAACTGCAACTTGAGAACAACATGTTTGACCTATTCTTTTTTTTTGTGCTGAGTACTTTTTTTCCGTAGGAAATTTAAGTCGAACATATGAATGTTGATAAAAAGAAACGTATTAAAAGGCCCATCTATGTTAGGCATAGACTATTCGAGTGAACTTTCACTGTTCTACATTTGATGTTTTGTTTCTTTCTATTCGCACTCACATTCAATCCAAACGTTACGTCGGTATTAGTTTCACTTGAATTCTTTACAATCGTCATAGAGTTCAACACGACGAATCGGAAGAAAAAGAAAAATGTAATTTGTTAATCATTTTCTATTCATGAAAAAATATTTCCCTATATACATCAAATATCGTATCACTACTTCGATATTAAAAACAACTGAAAATATTCACAGCGAGCGTATCACGCAAAATATCAAAACACCATAAACAAAATGAAAAGGTTCATCAGGTTCGAGAAAACATCTAAAAACAACTTACAATGTAGCACTCTGTTCATCGGCAAGTAATAAAGCCAACTTTCCAATCAGTTCTATTGGTACGAATTTTTTGACAGCCTGTTTCTGAAGAATAACGCGTGGTATGACTTCCGACTCTAGAATATCATCAATCATAAAGAAGAAATAGGCCGGTAAGAGAAACTTTACCGGAGATGTCATGGGATTTCGCTTGATCGCGTATTTGCCCGTCGACAAGCGGCGTTCGTACATAACCTGGGCAGATGGCATTACAATTAATATTAAATGGCGCACCTTCGAGTGCGGTTACTTTCGTTAGACCAAGTATACCATGTTTAGCGGCAACATAAGCAGATTTGTATTCACTCGCAAATAGGCCATGTGCTGATGCAACATTAATAATACGGCCGAACTTGTTTTCTTTCATTGGCTTCAATAAAGCTTTTGTTAGAATAAATGCCGATGTTAAATTAATACGAAGAATGTCCGCCCATTTATCATCGGGAAAATTTTCGATGGGCGCTACATGTTGAATGCCACAGTTATTTATTAAAACATCTAGAGTTGAAAAGAAGTAAAATAAAACGAATTTAATCCAAATTGAAAAATAACGAACCAATATGTTTAAATTTTTGCAAGCCTTCATCAACCATAGTTCGTAATTGATTTGAATCTAGAGCATTGGCAGGTGAATAAAGATGGCCCACTTGGAATTCGTTTGCTATGCCAGCTGCCAGTTCGCTACCATTCTTTTCTAATCCATTGAATATAATGTTATATTTCGCTCTGGCAAATGAACGCGCGATACCCAGACCAATACCACTACATAGAAAAGAATAATTGTTAAATAGAAGTCCTATGCAATGATTTACCTTGTACTACCAGTAATAAGAACGGTTCGTGTTGTCATTGATCTAGAAATAACAAACAAAGGATGTAGGGATTTTGTTTTCTCAGTAGTAGAAAGATGTGAAAGAAAAATGAAATTTAATCGGCTCCAGTCTGCTGTTTAGATATAATTTCATCAAGTTGACGTTCTAATTCAGATAGTTCTACAGTGGATTTTTTAAATAAACGTTCGAATTCAGCTTGTTTAGCTGTACCATCAGTTAACATTTTCGCTCGTATCATTTTCGATACGAGTATTGTTGCTTTACGTTCATGGAATTTCGATGCGCGACATTGTGTAAAACGGCCCATGGATAAAACTGGTAGCGAAAGCATAGCTGCTTGAAATACTCGAATACGATTTGTTGTCAACAGAAATGCAGCCATACTACAAAAAAATGAGCCAGGTATTCCTATAGAGAGAGAGAGAAAAAGAGAAAAACGTGTGTATTTTCTCCAATAAAAATATTTTGATTTCGCTACCGAAAATAAGTGCTTCTCTCAAACATACGGTTTCGCTAATGGGTCTGTTCTTCGATACTTCGACGAGCATGCCAAAAGCTTGTTTGAATTTTTCCCATGTTGTTGCTGGTGAAGCAGTTGGATCACTGCTGATGGGTTCAACGGTACGTAATTTAGAAAAATCTGAAGAATCCATTGGCGGTGCCATATCTGAAATAGTGTAACTCGTAAGAGTTCGTTGTTAAAAATTTATCAGTCGTATAATTATTCGCCCTATCACCGATAGTATTGTTTCCGTATAGTTGAATTTACTTCTTCGAAGATTAACTATGAATAGTAGAATTTTTAAAAAGTGAGCTAATCCGATTCAAATGAATACTTTAGGAATATATTTTGAAGTGGTGAGAACAACTCTAGGTTGATTAGGAAATAATTAAGTCGTCGGCAACGGCAAAATTCAATATCCTACAAACAATAGGAAACACTCGTAATGTGTTGTGCCTGCCAAAACAATATTTTCCCTCCACGTTCATTGATTATAGAACTTGAAATACAAGTTTAACTCTACTATCACTTTCTCGACAGTGGAATTAAAATATATTTAATACGTCTGAGAACAACACCTGATTATCTATCAGTTTAAACTAAAAACACGTTTATTGTTTATTCTCTCAAGTTAATATTGTAGTATATAATGTATTTTCGTCGATGCAGTTAAGACACAAAAGAACTTCTAACATCGTCCAATCTCTTTTTTTCGCTATGATCCAGTCCTATCTCTGATTCTAATAATTCAACGGAAATAAAACAGAAAAGTTTCGATCATTGTAGAAACATTTTTTTTTTTCAAAATATGAATCAACACAAAAAAGAACCATCAATATAACGATATAAGTTTATTGCAAAAAAAAAACACGAAAGACGAAGAAATTCCAATGACATCAGCGTACATCATTTAGCTTGATTAGTCGTTCACTCTATTCTGTCGATACATGAAAACAAAACAAAACAAAAATCTATAATCGCTCTCCAACACGAATCTTATCACCGGAATGACGGACAAAATTGAATGTTGACGGTGCTTCAAATATAACTACAATACAAGAACCTAATTTAAATTCTCCAAATGGTTCTCCTTTATCGAAATGAGTTGATTTTGATTCTGGAAAATTTTCTTTCCACATACGAAACGTATAATCATCTAATTTCTTATTCGTTTTTAATGTTTCATCAAAATAAACATCAATAGAACCCACATTTGTTGCACCGATCATTGTTTGCGTCATTAAACCATTTTCGTATTCACCCAAATAAACGACACGTTCGTTAAGTAACAATAATTTTGGAATCCACATTATAAATTCAGGGCGAACACTCATCAATTCTCCTTTATAAAAAGAAAAGTCGTTTAAAAGATGCTAATAAAAGGAACGATTTACTGTAGCTGTCCTCTTACTAAAGAGATACAAATAGGAAGTCTTGCCTCAAGGTTAAAAACTGTGCTTTGCCATTATTAGAAATACGCAAAACTAGTCGCGACCGAAACCAAAAGAAAATGTGTTCGTGTCAAAACGAGACTTTCACACTTCGGAACGGTCTGATTTAAACAACCCTTCTCATGTTGATTTGCTTGTTCATACCTGTGATGTGCCGGCGTTCGTTAATTTTCCATTTCGCTGGGCTATGAAAATGATGGTAGTTGCCAGGATTTAAATAAATACAAGCATAGAATAATGATGATTTATATTGTTTTGTTTGTAAACGTTCAATTTCACTTCGATTTAATTGAAATAGATCTTTGATTGTATACGAAACACCTTTAATGACAATATTTAAAAGTTCGACTGATGTTACAAGGCCATTGGCGAGTACTTCGCCATCACATGGTGATACAATTAAACTTTCTTTATCGATGGGTCGTGCGTTCGGTTTAAGATTTCGTCGAAAAAGCTCACCAAAACTTGCATAATAATCAAGCTGATCTGGACCATATTCACACTCGTTGATATCAGCATCGAAAATACGACAAAAAGATTTATAAATCGGGTTTCTTAGAGAACGAGGATAAATATTAACAGACAAAATACGCGACCAGCATCGAGATATTTCACGAAATGGCAACGAACGATACCAAGCTTCATTTGATGTACATACTGATTCACGTTGAATATGTGTAGAACGAACATAAAGATAGGAACTGAATGCAGATAGAGTTGTTAATGAAAGACATCGGCCGATGGGAAACCTCATTCTCGCCGTTGTTGACGACGATGAGGCTTTTGTTTAGATGTGGATTGTTGACTCGGCTGTTGATCGTTATTATTTAACTGAAACAAGGCACGAATTACACCGAAACGAATCAAAACAAATTTCCACAATAAATACCAGGCTAGAAACAAAATCCAAGTAAATATCTGACCCGGTAACCTTCGAATATCCGTTTACTTACATATACCAATAATAACCAAAGCAACAATAATAGAAACAATAGAAGAAATAATTAATGCAAACCAATAACGAATCGAATGACTTTCAGTCATTACTCAAAACATAAGAGTATAATCTAGAAAGTAAAAAAGTTTAATATTTTGTTTTCTGTTTTATTCACATTTAGTGATCGATCGATATACTTAATATATAAAAAAAAACAAGAACAGAAAAGAAATTTAGTAAATGATGTTGTTTTTGTTTCTCCTAACAAATTTCATCATCACCTAATTTTATTTGTTTAAAAATTCATCGTTTTATCTTCGCGATATTGATACATATAATCATTCGTATCTTTTTCTTCGATCTTTTCCCAGCCAGTTTCTTTCATATGATAGACTAAGAAAAGAAAATTCTTGTATCATAAATTTTAAAAAAAAATTTCTATTTACTTCGCACGATATTTCCCGATGCAGCATCACGATGAGCGGCATGGACAATCGCTCGACGAGCAAGATCAATTGCATCAATGGTGCTCATTTCATACCTAGAAAATAAGACTAAATCTATCATCAAATCCATCCCGTTTGAATTTATTTACTTATAACCAGCATCGAGAATACTATATGCATATATTGAGCCACTGCCAACTGAAAATAAATTGTCAGTAATACGTTCACCATCATCTGATACCATATATAAACCGGGACCCTATTGAATGTCAAGTAGAAACATTTATTCATCTCTTATTTTCATTGCAACATACTCGTTTATCCCAGCCAACAATCATTGTACCCATGGACAATCCCATTCCACGATATTCAAAGACCATATTGGCAAGAATTTTGGATGCAGCTGCGACCGAAATTTTTTCTTTATTACGTAATTCATAGATACGACAATGTCGAGCAAGTACTCGTTCCCAAAAAGCACAATCAGCAGCACCGCCAGCCATAGTACCCAATAGATAAGGATTAATTTCAATCACTTTTTTTACTTCTCCAGATGCTAGAAAAATAAATATGATGAGTTGCTATTGTTCACGAAAATTACTAGCAATGGCAAATGCAGTGGATTAGAAATATTCAAAATTAAACATACCAATAAAACCACCAGCTGTTGCGCGACTGTCCACAGCCACTATAACTCCATTACGAAATTTAAATGCTAATGTTGTTGTTCCTTTAAGAAATTGTATTTTAACGCGATCTACATTATCACTAACCATTTTTAAATATTTTGCAGGCTTAATAAGAAAAAATACAAATAAAAACATAGTGAAAAACAAAAGACAGCAAGAAAGAAATCCTTTACATCGGCATAAGGTGGCAAAGTAATAAACTGTGATATATTTTCTACATTTAATTTTGGACAAAGTTCATCGATAGTATCATCGTTTTTGTCACATCGGAGTGAACGATTGAATGTATCATTGGATTTAAAACCAAGTACCGAAGCTAATGCCATGTTTACAATAGTGTTGATGAGGAAGAGTAATGATTGTGTACCTGTTGGATTAAACAAAATCTGATTGATCGAATCATTCGAACCAATCATCAACGTCCCTACAGTCAACGTGATTGATGAAGAAAAATCGAGAATAGTAAAAAGCTTTTTTTTTCATATAAAAAAGCATCATCGAATTTCACTATTGGATACATGTACAGAATAAGCATACCCCAAAAATGAAATCAACAGCTATTGGCCTATGAGCACACAATCATTAATAGAATAGAGAGAGCTCTCTATCTCTACTCTATTAATGATGGTGTGCTCATAAACCAATTGATATTGATCTCATTGTTAGGGTGTGCTTATTCTGCGTCGCACGTGTACTCCATACTGTATTTTAGAATTGATTTTGAAAATATTTTTTCTTTAGTTTTGGCCTTGTCATACGATCCATATAATACCTATCTGAGTTTTTTCTCGGCGATGAGAACTATAAGTTTCTTTTGTTACCTTTGATGATTTACCAAACTCTAAGCAAATAATGACAACATCATCATTATCAACTCTTTCAGCAGAGGCTAAAGAATTCTTACCATCAGTATCGATTCCTCCTTCAACAATAATTCCATTGTATATTAATGAAAATACTGTTGCATCCGTTTATTCATCGCAATTTCAACAACAACAACAACTAATTTATCCATTATTAAAAGTGCCTGAAATTGAATTTCATATACAATCATCACAACAATTTCATATTGATTCAAGTCGCGCAAATCCACCACGATCATCAATTACGTCAAATCCATCGCAAATTGTTCTTCTACCAACAAACCGGTGTTATCCCGACGCACAAATACTCTATCCGCCAAATGATCAGTCATCAGGATTTTATCCAACGAATTATTCATTTCCACAACCAAAATCTAATCGAATCTCATCACATCATCAACAACGTGGTGGTATCAATCATTCAAATAATCCTCGGCATTCGAATTATGGTCAACAAGAATCAACAGCATTGAATAGTCGTCGAAATTTTCATCCAACAAATAATAAACGAATATTAAAACGTGGTGCTGCACATACAATACAACAACGAGATCAATCTCATAATGAGAATATTTATCACTTAAATAATGACGACACTCGATTTAAATTTCGATCCGAAGACTTTCCAAGCCTTCCCATCAATTTGAATCAAGAATCTGATAAACCAGCCGTTCAATCATTGATATCCACAAATACAAAGTAATTTAGTTCGAAATTTGCGAGAAGCTTTTTTCTTATCTTGAATTTTATTACTCCTAAAAAAAACACAGACACTATGCATTTATCTAAATAACTCTTTTAGGCCAACTCCATCCTGGAATACAATAGTTTCAACTCCACGACCTCGTTCTACATCTCCACATTCTGTTGCGAGTTCTTCGAAGCTATCTGAAAATCAACCAACTAATCGAAGTCGAAAAGAAACAATAAATGATGAACAAAAATCTGCTAGTGACAATAATAATAAGTCTTCTGTACAATCAAAATCTAAAACATCAAATAATAATTCCAAACGAAACTCTTCGACAGAACAGCAACGTTCAAAATCATCAACAAAAAACAATGAATCGTCGAAGAGTCCAAACGGAAAACCTGGCGAATTCATTCAAACAAAACAACAAAGACGTGCAGAACGACAACGACAAAATAAAAACAAAGAAAAACCAACACCAACACCAACACCTACACAAATGCCAACTCCGGAAACAATTCCATTTTCTCTTGACGATGAAAATGCATTTCCAGCATTAGGACATGAAGTACCGATACAAATAGCAAAAAAATCTGAAAATGATTCTTCAGCAAAAGATAAACGTATAAAATCGAAACTCTTTGTTTTCTTCTTGTAAATCTATATGTGTATTTCTTGTTTTTTAGCGTTCATTCCAGGATTAATTAATGTATCAAAAATAAAAGCGAAACAAACCTACCAAATATGTTTAACAGATATGTTCAATGCTTTAAGTACATCGACGCAAACAAAACAAGATAATTCTCTCAATAAAACAGCAAAATCATCACGAAAAACATTGAATAGTGCTAATCCACTTGATTCAAATCCAGTGCCTAAACGTGGCAAAGAACGTGAACAACCAAAACCACGTAAGCCAACCAAACTTAAGCGTATTATCAATAAAGAACTTGAAGAAAATCAAAAACAACGACAACAATTCCACGTAAAATCTACAGCAGTCAAACCAACGGATGAGCAAGATATTTCATGTGAAACTGACACGAACAACGTCAATGGTATCGATAAGTAAGTGATCATTTTTTTTACTGACATGCTTTGTTATGGGTTCGTTTCAGTTTTATCAATGATCAATCGAACGACGTCGTCTTTCCTGTTAATACGAATGAATATATGAGTGCCTCATGTACAGAAGATTCGAATGATGGTGACGATGATGATGATGATGATGATGATGATGATGATGATGATGATGAAATACTTGATCATGAGCCTACAAGCCAATTACAAACTCCTTATGCTCAACAAATGCCTCAGTCAAATATAAAACAACAAATTCATGATGCTGGTTTTCGTGAATATTGTTCTCAATTAATTGATCGTCAATTAGACGAACTGTGCATTGAATTATTAATAACATTAAAGCGTTTTCAAGATCGTAAGAAACAACAACTTCAAGCGAATCCGGAACGTGCCCGTCGTAAACGTCGTTTTGTTCACGGTATACGGGAAGTAACAAAACATTTACGTTTACAACGTTTGAAATGTGTTCTGATTGCACCTGATTGCCAATCAATACAAAGTCAAGGCGGCCTGAATGATGCTATTGAGAAAATAATAAATCTTTGTAAAGAACAAAATACTCCCTATATATTTACGCTTAATCGTCAAAAACTAGGTCGATGCTTAAATAAAACATCTCGAATATCATCGATTGGAATATTTGATTATAGTGGTGCTGATCAAATCTATCGACAAATTGTTGATATCACCTGTGAAAATCAACGTGCGTATAAACAAATTATTGATAATATATTAAATCACGATGAATCAATAACAACACCATCGCATGGTTTAAATAGTCGAGAATTCTATAAAATTCTCCATCGAACATTTCAACAGCAACAACAACCACAACTACAAAAACACCATGTTGTTAATATTATACCCAATGAATCTTTATCGAAAGTTCTACCTAAAGTTCCTGCGCATTATGCACATTCGCGACAAACATCAGACACATCAACGATCTATATTGATCCACAATTAATTAATTCAATTAAAAAGCAGCATACACGTGCGTCAAGTGGAACATTTGATGTGGGCAAAACAACGACAGCAGCAGCAACAACAACAAAAAAACATCAACGAACACTCTCCGATGGAGCGACGAATGTTGTTAATGATACAGCTATTCAAACGAAACATCATTTAAAAACACATTCGCGTACGCCATCTGGTTGCAGTGTTATAAGTCAAATAGAACAACAAGATTATTTTGAACAATCCAAAAATATTCTCATGAATAGTACTAATGACATCTGTATTGAGAATGAGGAAAATCGTTTAAAATCAATTAACGAAGATACAGAAGAAAATTCAGCAAATATAAAAAGAAAAAATGTCGAAAAATGGATTAATGACAATTAACAAATATTTATTTCGTACGGAACTTTCTTTCAAATAATTGAATCTTTTTTTTTCTATCATAGTATTTTTAACTCTGTGTTGTCGAGCAGTTCATTATTGCTTGTGCTTTTCGGTGTATATAGATACATACGTGTGATTATTTTTTTGTTTGTTTGTCTATCTACCTTCTACTGACAGCTATTCATTGATTCATCTATTCTGGAGCTCATCAGAAATATATATTTATAACAACTTCCAGCAGTATTAATAGTAGTAGACGGATAATGATGACGCAGTTGACATATGGAATGATGAACGAAATAAATTTTTTCTTGAACAGTTTCATGTTCATTTTATTTTTCATTTATTAATGTAAACAATCTGACTAATGTGATTTCAGTGTATTTATTTGGTTCGTTTCCATATTGTTCCAACAGAAAAAAAACGATTTATGACTGTCACGAGATTTCTTTTATTTTAATTATAATGATTCTATATGAAGTTTATCTTACCTTTTTTTTTGGACGTTGACACTACTTTATGTTTACGGTATTTTTTATTCAGTCTATGAGTATTATTAATGGTATGTGCAATAAAAGTGAATTGTTTCTTATTATGACAAGAAATCATATTTTATTATTAGTTCGAAATCTGAAAATTGCTGATTTCCATGAAAAATGTAGCTCCTAGGAAGTCTAAGAGTGGTAAGGCGCTGTTAGGTCCCGCCTGAACTTGATGTCCAGGGGATCATGTACAATTATAATCGAAATTCTCTGAATTACATTATGAAAACCTGGGATTCAGTGAAAATTACCATAAAAGTCTGAGTCGTGCTTATGAATCGAAGAGAACGAATCATTATAAATATTTGTCAATTGATATTTCACATATTATTGTATTTCTTCGATAAGCGCGGTCATGACTGCTATGTTCATTTTGTTTGGATCATAAGGCTGGTATCGACGGAATATGTAGTAAAGAGTCGCCCTCTAGGTGTTAGTGTACCAGATCTCAGTGGACAATCGGTCAAACACGTGGCTTATCATCAACGACCGATGTTGTACGAACTCCAATTTGAAGCTACTTGCCGGACGTGTGGCTCTCCGACCGCTTCTGAAATCGGCGCTTGAGGTTACGGTTTTGACCCTCAAGTTGATATATTCAGCGGAAGACTCACAGACTGTGAGTCACTGTCAAACTCAGTGCGTCTATGGCTGGGATTCAGTTGTCGAAAGTAGTGTGAAAATAGCAAGTATACCTGACTAGTAGCATAGAGATCTCATCAAAACTTGCTAGTTTATTCTGCCGGTTTCAAGAACTTTTTCTTTGAATAAAATATTTTTTGTTTAAATAAATCTTTTTTGTTTTTATTCACGAGTTAGACTCCAACCTATTTGGTTGAAAGTGATGTTTACTGTCATAAAAATGCAAGCTTTATTGAATAAAAACTGAGAAAAAATCGAACATTCGCTCTTTAAATCAGTCGCATGTTTTCGTAACATATTTGATTTTTACAAGAACGTCGAAAGTCTTTCTTCAACATGTACGTTTATCATATTAAAAGTCATTTATTGATATGTCTAAACGAGAGAGAGAGAGAGAGATATGTTAGGATTCGTATTGAAAACACAATCTTATGAAAATCAACTGACCAGTTTTATTGTAGAAAATATTTAGCTTGACATTGTCGACAAGACACCACCCTGTTGAGTTAACTATTAACGAATGAATTTCTATTTGCATAATACGAGCGTCGACTGGAATATTTCCGGTGACATTCGTCCATTGTTGAGGCTCAGATTCTATTTTAAGTACTAGAAATATCATGCAAAATAACAATAAACTTATATGGATCAACGAAACAAATTTACCTTGTTGTTTGCGAAGGGTCAACATATTATCTTTAAAAAAATTGATGATAATAGTGATTTGATTGGATCCTTGACCAAAGCAACCCGCATATGCCGATATATTATATGCTCCTTGGCCGCTATCGATCAATACAGAGAACAAAATTAATAAGGTGTATTGTGTGAGATATTGTTCACCCGATGATCGGGCAAAAAATGAACAATTGCCTAAGACGGAAGAGTCCAAAATATACGAGTCATTGTCATTGTGTACAGGACCTATCGTCATAAGTGGCCAGGATGCTATTGAATCCCAAAATGTTCCATTTTCTTTTGATTGACACTAGAAAAAAGTATGTATTGTCAACAAGTCATTCATCATTGTTCAATAGTACTTTCTAATAAAACTCAATTATTTTAAATCTTGAAATTTCTCCAGATGAGAAACACACAGAGAAAGTCAATTTCTACTTACTGTATCTTCTGCGCCTCCATTGATCACAAGATTCGATTCATCGATTGGACCAAATGAGCCATTGGAGAAGCGTGCATTGCGATAATTTATCGTAGGATATGCGAATATGTTGGCATCGCTTACGAGTTGCTGCGCTCTAAAGCTATGAAGTAGATCAGAATTCGTCAAATCGATCTCTCCAAATATATCTATGCCACTGGCAAACTCTGCTCGATGAAGTATAGCTCCTTGAAAATCGTTTCCATATAATACAAGATCACCCAATATGAGACCAGGCGCATAGACTTGACGAAAACTACTATTAAGAATCAACGAGTGAATAATTTTTGCATTTGGCATAACTGCATCATTAAATACGGCACCTACCAAATTACACCATTGAAAAGCAATATTCGATGCATAGACACCGGGTAAATACAAAAAGGAGAGCGAAAGTAAACTTGCCGGCCTGCCAATGAACTGAAGATTACTTAAATCACTACCGTTTAAATGCAATCGTTCATTTTCAGGACGGTCAGCTCGTAACAGGCGACTTTCGTAGAGAAACCAAATGATAGCAACTTTTCGATCGGCATCAACATAACTAAGAACTGTCATCGTTTTAATACGAATATGTAATAAATGTTCAGGATTACTTCTGTTAAACTTTCGATCGAGTAAAAGCGCAGATATATCGTCTATAAAGTTTTCAAAGCTCGAACGAATATTTTTCTCTTCGGCCTGCAGCTGATCTTGTTTGCGATTTTCTCGTGCCACCAGATTCTGTTGTAAAGTGAATACAGTTGTGAAAACACCAAACACAAGTGTAGGCAATGCAGCTAAAATCATTTTTGTAATATTGAGACACGAACATGACTTTGGCTTCGATGAACGATTAACGTCGTTGGGTACCAGATTTTGCGTAAAAGATGACGCCATCGTTATCGACTGAAAATAAGAAATGAAAACGCCTTTTTATTTCACATACACGATGGGAAACGTGTTGAAAATATTAAACCAATATTAGATGATAGGAAAAAATTATTTATCACGTATATTATCGTGCTTTGGATGAGAAAATCTTCTGCTCTGAGCGCAAGAGTAAATTCAATAAGAGCATGTAGAATAAATATTTTATATGTAACTAAAGCCTCGCACTAGAATAATCGATGAAACAGATAAAATTTATAAATAGCAACAGTGATTCATTTCATTTTGGGTGGGAAAGAAATTTCAGTGGCAAATTTGCATAATGAAATAATATTATTTACAAACGAAGTTGGTATCAACGTTGATCATGAACGGCAAAGTCTGCCAATGTATCTATCGCGTGTATATTGTTTTTTACAGTATCTTGTCCGAGAAGATAGTTGAACTCCCCTGAATAATTCGCTTTGATTTAGTTCATCGTTGAGATTTATTTCGCTTTGTCGAATTCAATTAAACAGAATTTATATATTTTTAATTAGTTCTTTGTTGGTTCTGCAATTGAACCGCCCTATTTCTTGAACGCGAACAATTTATACTGCCTTGTTCATTTCCTTCGAGTCATCACTCGATAAGACTGCTTGCACGCAGATCTTTCTCATAGCGAATCAGTTGTAGAAAAAAAGCGTCATTTGGCGTAGCTATCCAGCGTTGTTCGACCAAATGACTATAGGCTTCGCGAAGCGTATTAAAGTACGATCTACAATGAAATATAAATAATTAGCCTGCAGATTTTAGATAAGTTTTACCTTAATAGATATGCAAGAACAATTGCCGACGAACGAGAAACACCCTTTCGACAATGAACAAGAACTTTCGTGTTGTTTGTTTTACATACTTCTAAAAATTCATTCGTTTGATTGAAATACTGACGAATATCAACATCGAAATCATCCTGTATATTAATCCAAAGAACGTTATAGCGATTTGTAATATTTCGATTTAATCGAATGTGAGACACATCGATAATGCTTTGGATGTTAAGTTTATCAAGTAAATCTATATCTCTTGCATGTTCTATAGCGCCATGATATAGGAAATTATCAATAATCATCGATGGAATATGAAATGCTTGCTTGTTAGATGGTGCATCTCGTTGTTTTAATTGAATCATACGCAACTGTTTTAAAGAGTCGATCTCCTCATCGGTTGCTTGTAAAAATTCTACGGCTTCATGGTCCACCCAAATATCGGATTGACAGGTGTTTTCGAACATTTAAATTCAATTAAAACTTGATAACTATCTGAAAGTAAATGCTCCTACTCGAGAGAGCCTCTACGTCATTATTTTACTTGTTACAAATTTTGTATTTATAGCAGGCGGTGTATGGCATAGTTTTCCATTGGAAAGAAATGCTATTACTTACTGTGTGGTCTTCAAGATTTCGACTTGAAAACGATTGTGAAATGAACGGAGTAGAAAACAAACTCGATCAATCAAGTGTTGTGCAATTCTTTCTTTCACAACACTGACGTCATTCTCATATGTGGATAACGAATGCACTGTATAGACAGCATGAAGAAGTTACACACTCTTCATCGAGTCGTTTTCGAAGTTATGAACTTTTCTCTTGAGAAAAAAATGAAACTCCGCTTTACGAACGTTTATGTTGCACCCAGAAAAAGAGTACAAGACAAAAACAGAAACTAAACGACTTGTTACTGTATTCAGTTGACGAGTAATCAGATAAATATCATCTGGAAAAAAGTCTAAGAAACCGTAGTAAATATTCTGTTTGAGCGCATGGAGCTTTCAAGAGTACCATGTTTCGATATCCATAGGCTTTTCATTTCATGGTTCATTTTTGGTATAGAGTTTATCTTCAAGTCATTTTCAGAAAATGAAAGATCAAAAAAGGCAAATTTCGATAAAGTATCTAGCAAAGGTTGTGCGAGCATCTGTGTAATTGTGAATTTTAATGAATTAAAATATATTTCGAGAAAAATTGGGAAACGGAATGCATTATCTATTATATAATGTTGAATAATATAGATGTCACTCAAGGCCATCACATGCGATAGGTCAGCTGTTTTAGTGACAATAAAATGGAGATGGCTTTTGGACTAAGAAAAAAATGCGTTATTTTGAGAACTCGTTCTCATTATTTCAGATAATATTTTTTATGAATCTATACTGATGTCACCTTTAGCAGAAAATAAAACTGAATCGAAACAAAATTCTCGTATTGTACGAGTTCGTGATGTAAATATTTTTCTTTGCTTTAATTCGATTCAAAATATTTATTATTTTCTTTTTTAATATTTAGTTACCTATTTATTATGATATAAAAAATGATGATAGTTATCGACGTGCTTCTCAAACAAATGATGATCAATCAAAAATAAACAATAATAACAATTGGCTGTATTCATTTGTTAGTCAAATGAGACAATCAATACAACAAACATGGAATAATAATAAGGTTCATTTTTATCATATTTGTTTATTTCATTATTTTTATATTTCTAGGAGTTTCGCTTAAGAATTATTCGTGGTGTAGAAACTGGAGAAGCACATGCAAAAGGTAGAATCGTTTGTTTTCTGTAATTCTTTTGTTTTTAGTGGCATTTTTTTCAATAGCAACCATTGATTATATTCATGATGACGAAACACTTCTTCCTAAAGTCGGCGTTGTTACTATAGCTGGTCTTGGTGGTCTTCTTCTTGGTCATAAAGGTGGCCCAATAAGAAAAACATTCTATTCATCAGTCGCTGGTATCGTTGCATTAAGTGCTTGCTATCCAAAACAATCAGCAAATGTACTTGATCAAGTTTATATTAAAATAAAAAATCAATCAAAAAATCTTTTTGATAGTAAATATATATATGTATATATTTGTTTTTCAATTATTCTATTCATTTTTCTTTAAAACAGATGAAACAAAGTCCAATTTACCATGGGTTTTACAAAATAAACATCGCGTATTCCATACAACGAAAACAGAAAATGAATCAACCATTACTATCAAAGGTGACTACGGACAAGGTACACCAGGTGATCAACATTTTTATACAACACGTGGTACAACATCGGTAGATACCGAAAAGAAAATGTAAATTTTCTCGTAACCTGGTTTTGTCTTCTTATTGAGATTTAGTTAGTTGTCTATATTATTAATCGTTTTCCTTTCAACAGTCATGTGTAATATTATTATTTTTCTCCTCTTGCTAATAATTATCCATTGTATCTCATGCAGATTATTAAAAATATACATATTAATAGGTTTTGGACAGTAATACTTTTCTTGAATTATTGTAAATACAAAGATATCTATTTCTTGATTATTGATGAATTGTGAAGCGTTGCGAGACAATTATTCATTTCAGTACTCTAAACTGCGCATGGAATTTCGCTGGTTTGTCTAATATATGATTGCTTTCAAGGATATAGATGAGCAAGATAAAAATGACAAAAGTATTGCCTTGTTGTGTTTTATTATAATTCATTACAGTGCATAGTCAAATGTAAAGAAAATACGAAGGTTTTGACTTGGTTGCTTGTCGTAATTTCAATTTAGATTTCTGTGAAAAATCTATATTCGATAATGAAACAGCCTTTAAATGATTTGATTGGCGAATCATAGTAACAATGGCATCGATACATTCATCATTAACTTGTCGATTTCCTTCAAGATAGAAATATTCAAGACCTGAATGGGGTACCGCTTGTGCAAGCGTTATCACACCTCTTGATGTTAATTCATTAGAAGAAAGATCGAGAAGGCAAAGTCGCCTATTCTGTAATAAGATTCGAGCAATAAGCTCTGCTCCAGCATCAGTAATGGCATTTGTTCCTAATCTAAGGTATTTCAGGTGATGATCGAGTCGAAATGCTGCCGCAAGATGTTGAACGCCTTCATCTTTAAGTCGATTACTACCAAGATCGAGTAGTTCTAAAAACGTATTCGTTTCAAGAGCTTCAGCTAAAATTCGAGCCCCTTCGGATGTTAACCGATTCGATGACATATGAAGTTCAGTACAATGTCCGTTGATAAATAATTCCTTGACAATAATTGGAATATCATTGTCAATAAGATTCATAGAATTAAAATGAAATTTAGTATCATGCCGGTAGCATGTTATTACTTGCAAAAGATTTTTGTTCCAATAATGGTCATTATCACTGTTAGATTGTGCCATCAGCTTTTACATGTATATTTATTATGATTTTTTCTCTCCTAATATTTATAGACAACCATGAATCACAATTACTTTTATATTTTCTTGCATTGCATCAGCAAAAGAGCTCTGCAGTGTCTAGTGTTTCGTTGACTAATATTGATATATGTACCTTGAAAACTTTATCTTTTGCTTGTCATTCGATTAAGTAATTTTATCATGTATCTTTCTTAAAAATTTGTATGTAACACAAAATAATACAATTAAACTCTTCTAAGTATCTACAATTTTCAAATAAACAATGAAACTACTATTATTTGATGACTATAGATTGAATTCATCTTGCCAATCCTTGCGATGATAAGACTTCATGCCTTTTGTCTTTGCTGAGGACTTTTTACCACGTCCACGGAAAAGTATTACTCCGCCACAATTAAGACAAGCTCTACAAGGAGTATAATGCTTCTTGTATAATTCTCGTTTTAGAGGATATTCGTTATCTTTAAATGATAAATCAATCCATTCATCAATTGCTTCTTGCTGTTCCAGTTGAATCGTGCTTCTTTCCCCATTAACCGTTTGGTATTGTCGTGCTCGGTCGGAATCTACGAAACGTCCACCACAAAATCCTACGTGCCAAAATGGACTACTTCTAGAGTTCGATTCCATATGCGCAGGTATCATTTTTCGAATAGGTAGTTGATTGTTTTCATCAGCCAGTAATTCCCATCGTTTTGATTTTGATAGAGAAAATGGAACCCCACTGGTCTTCTCAATGATAAAATCACCTCGATTTGCTTTATGTTCGAATTCATTGTGTCGTAAAGTTGCATTTGTTCTCAAACCTTGGCGTTTGCCTTGTCGCTGTGGCATATCTTAACCTATTCTTATTAATTAAAGATGGTTCAGAAAATAAGCTTCAAAGTAAGAAATGTACCGACTGTTCTTATATATATTTTTTTTCGACTGAGTTATTTCATCGTACTTGCGACACATGCGCTTTCTTTTGAATTTCGCAATTCAATGAGTCATTCTACAGCGCTTACAGCTGACTACGCTCATTCTTCTTTCATATGAAATTATGGAACCAATCAAAAATTGATGACAATTACCTTCATTCGTAGCTCCCATCGTAGGGTTCATTTAAGGGATCCCCTCTATTGATGTTCACATTGCAAAAGCATATAGTCGGAATCAGAAAAAAACTAAGAATTATATCACTCTTCGGCTTTTAAACAATTCTTGAAAAAAAAATTGAACAATCTTGTTACGAAATGATTTGCTCAAAGGTGTGATACTGTGTACGTGTGAAGAAACTACAATCCAAAAGGAATACAATGACTACAGCTATGACAATTAATTGTGTTACACAAATGCCGATCGAGTGTTTACTTGATCAAGAGCTCTAATTGAAATTCTACCGGTCTTTTTTTTCTCCAACTGTAATAATCAATGGTGCACTTGATCTCTATGTCAAGATATATATATATATATATATATAGCAGGTAAACATATATAAATGACCTCTCAGGTCATTCATACCTTGCAATGCTTGAATTTCATCTTAGAGCATATGTATATGGTAATCGTATTCCAATGAAGCTTGTTCTGAAGTGTGAAGTATGCGTGAGAACAAAACACATATCTGATTATGTAATCGCTTTTGTGTGTTATTACTCATATTTCTTTCGATTAGTTAAATAGGTTCGTTTAACTCATAGATTCCTTATTGTTGACAATATATTAGAATTAATCAGCAGAGATTTTATTTACTGAGTCGACAATGATTGTAAATACAAAGAATGCATCGATGTACTAATAGAAGAAGCAATATTGAAACAAGTGGTAGATTAAACAATTCTCTAAATTGATTTGAAAACACGTTTTGTAGCTATGATTTCGTCTATTTACTACATTGATAAATCCGCGCTACTGATTGAAAATTTATTTGATCAATGCGTCTATCCGGTGTTCATTCTTTCTTGTTTTATAACGAAATATCCTCAATTCATTTTCATCTTATCTTTTGTTTTCTCAACAAATACGATTGTTCTAATCTATCATAGAAATTTATGAGACGGTAGATCAAAATTTGTTTATCTATATATGATAATAATGATGATGTTCAATCAATAATCCTACTAAGAAACAAGGTGAATTGTCGCTGTCTCGTTTCCTTTTCTTGTTGTTTTTTGATAGTCTTTTGATCACTGTGTAACAATATAGGGATATGTCTCTTTCTGTCTATCATCATTTACATCTCATTAAAATATGTTGAGCGACGGCATTCAAGGTAGAATAAATAGAAGAAATAAATAGCACGAAAGATGAAGTATTTGTTTTAGAGCAACAATCGTCGTTGCTTTCGTTATATGCAACTATATCTCTCCTTCTCTTCTTCTTCTTCTTCTTGTCGCTTATTTCCCTTTCAAATATTGATTAGTTCGAAAGAGAAATAGAGAAAAAGACAATCACAATAGAATGAGAAAGCACTATTATCATCTAGATGTTCGTTTTTGTTTTCTCCAAATCAGTTTCACGCGATGAATAGTGTATGAGTGAGTATCGTATAGAACATAGACACTTGTACATATATACATGATGCAATTAAACGTCTGAGTTGAAAACAAACGATGATGTTTACAAGCTATAAGAGAGTATGATATGTCCCATTCCCATTGAAGAAGATCGATGGATATCTGAGACATTTGTGTAAACGACGAAGTTTGACAGAACAATGGAGCCATCGTCGGGACACAAATACACACCACTATCATCTCATTTTATTTTATTTTACTTTTTTCATTTATTCAAGTATTTGTTTTTGCTTTTTCTTTATTTTAAATCAGAACATTCTTTGAACGATGATATCAAGAAGCACCAGCATAGCACCATCATATCTGATGTGGATTAAACTTCTTATTTTTATTTCGTATTTTAATCGTGTCGTCGATGCTCAAGGTACGTACAGTAGATAGGATGCTTGATTTATAGTTATTCTTAATGTAGTATGCACGCCGGATGTTTGTAATAAGCATGGTACTTGTATGCCGAATGCAATTAATTCATTTGCTTGCCAATGTGATCCGGGTTTTGTTGGGCCGACTTGTAATCAAGGTAGTTTAATCAAAAAAAAAAAAAGAAACAAGTGTGACAAAATCAGTTTATTGCTTACTTTTTTTTGTATGATTAGAAGTAGATGAATGTGAATCACAGCCATGTGCGAATAACGGCACATGTACTGACTTAGAGAATGGGTTTCTTTGTCATTGTTTGCCGGAATGGAATGGTACTCTATGTACAGAAGCAAAGAGTAGGTGAAGTCAGATTCGAAGTAGCGAGAGAAATTTGTGTTTTGTTTTCAATATCAGATCCATGTCAGTCGTCGCCTTGCGGTCCTACTGGTAAATGTATTGCAACTAATCATGCACAAATTCCTTATTATTGTCAATGTTCCGATGGACAAAATACAATGTTCAAATGTGCTGATCCAAGTAGGTTACTAGTCGAAAGAAAGAAAGAATGGTACTATGTGATTTTCCACTAGATCCATGTTTGCCGAATCCATGTGGTCCAGGAGAGTGTGAAATAACTGCTAATTTACTCAATGGATATATATGCCGTTGTTTTGATGGTACGATTCAAATGACAAATTGTTCGGCGCCGAAAAGTAAATATTTTGTTTTTGTCTTTTTTGAAGAGCGTGATTCAACATTGAATTTTAGATCCATGTGCCTCGATGCCATGCGGTTCACAGGGACGATGTTTGGTTTTAAATGCAGCACCAAAAGGATATATGTGCATGTGTCAGGTTGATAGTGTTTCGTATACAACGATTGATACGTGTCCAGGTAGAAATTTCGTCGTAGAAATCATAAGGAAAATAAAATGATTGTATTTATTTAGTGACTAGCTCATTTTGTACACATATGACATGTAAAAATGGTGGAAAATGTGTTCCATTTTCCGTGGATGAACCATCGTGTAGTGTTGATCAAATTGGCTCGACTTGTTGTCAATGTAATTTGAATAGATTTGATATGCATAAGAATAAAATTAATGGTTGCTATATTGTATGTTTAAGGTCCACCGAATTTTGCTGGTTTACGTTGTGAACAAGGTAAGCATTGCTTTCTAGTTTGTGTAAGACATCTAGAGTAAGCTCGCGGTTTGATCGTCTCGCCTTGTCGACAGTTGTTGTAACAGATATTAAAATTCTTTTAGAAGTTGATTTATGCTCATCGAATCCATGCAAAGCGAATGGACGTTGTCAATCCGATAAATCTGGTTATCGATGTCAATGTTTTGAAGGATACACGGGTGAAGATTGTGATGGTAATAGAAATACTTCACTCACTTGTTCTTCGTCTTTTATAATTAAGAAAATTTTCTTCGCTAGTTCGAATCATGAATTCCGGTTGTGCATCAAATCCATGTACAGTAGGTATTTGTTATCAATTGAATCAGAGTGGAGCTTCTTATGTTTGTATCTGCCCTGATGGTACACTGAATCTTTCATGTAATTCACAGAGTAAGTTTGCGAGAAATGATTTATTTAATCTTCTTGTTGTAAAAAAAATTATTTAGATTCAACACGAAGTCCTTATAAATTACCGGCATTCTCTACAACGACCATGACAACATCTCTATTTGGTGGCAATGTCAAATTTCGAGACGGTAGCAATCTAAATTCTGCTCCCGCAGCAATTTCAACATGTAATCCAACATCAAGAGATGTATGCAACGGTGGGCAATGCATATTGAGTACTACAGGAGCATATGCATGTCGTTGTCGTGAAGGTTATACGGGCGCCTATTGTGAAAACAGTTGAGTAGAAAGTTTTCTTTTTCTTTTCGTTCTACATTATTTTTGTTTTGCTCTATTAGATATCAATGAATGCGCTTCTAATCCTTGGTAAGATTTCGCAGGTGGATAAATGTTTAGTTTTTTCTTTCATTTTTAGTTTGGGTGGCGGTACATGTTATGATCTTGTGAATGCTTATGCATGTTTTTGTCCCGATCGAATTTTTCGACCGCAATGCAATACGACATCCACTGTTAAATATACGCCTACAACTTCCATGGGTAATCCTAATGGTAAATAAGAAGAAAAAAAATCTATAAAAATTTTATTCTATATTATTCTGTAGACAAAATACTGACTGGTAAAGAGGAAAAACCATTGCCACGAGAATGTCTATGTCGTAATGGTGGTAGATGTTATACAACTCCTGGCAGTGGAAAACTTTGTCAATGTCCAAGTGCATTTACTGGACCATTTTGTGAAACGTCGATCAGTAAGCATTAGAGAAGAATGACAAAACGAGATGAAACACGAATCTATTTCAGATGTAGCAACTCGTAACAATGCGGGTGCGTTTAGTAGCTGCAGTCAAGTATCATGTGAAAATGGTGCTACATGCCAAGAACAAGGCTCTAATTCTGCTTGCATGTGCAAACCAGGTTTTACTGGTCAACGATGTGAACTAGGTATAATTGATTAATTTCGATAGAGTTAAAGAATCTGCTTTTATTTACTATTTAGAATATTTTCGTTGTCAAAACAATGGTCGTTTTGCAGATGTATCGAATTGTAAACATGGACGTTATTTTGAATGTGTTTATTATGGACAATGCAAGTTTGAAAAATGAGTTTTTGTATGAATTTTAATTGTATTTTATTTAGATGATCTAAATCTGCCAAATGGAATTCTCTATAGTCGTAGTTGTCCACCAGGCCTTCGATTTAGTACATTAAGCGATCGATGCGATTATCCAAGTGTTGTACAATGCTAAATGACACCTAATTTTTTTTCTTTTCTTTTCTTTTTGAATGGCAACATGTGTACATGTCTATCGACTTTTTTTTTCTTTCTCGGTGCCATTTTCTCTTATATCTCACAATCTTAGACGACTATCTGTAGATCGTTATATGTTTCTTCTTATTATTCGTTTTTTGCTCAATTCACATACACGAAAAAAAAAAAGAAAGAAAATATATACATCGTTGCATCGTAATATGTTCTAGTCACGAACGAATAATTCTATTAGCATCGACGACGAACATCACAATCAATCAGCTCGCTCTTCTCGGCGTTTTTTCTCATAGAGATAGATAGATTGTTCTTCCTCTTCATTTTTTTTCTATGGCATCTAATGATACCGGAAAATAAATAGAGTGTCTATCCCTAAAAGCAAGCAATATGACTGTGTAATGAGCTGAGTTCCGGTTGCCTGTTATTGTTATTCCATAAAATGGTGATCATGACAATAGTACAGAGAGATATGAAGGAGAAAAAGCAAAGACGAGCGTTTTTCTACCCTCAGGCTTCGTTCTCGAGAGATTGGATTAAGACGACTGTATGCTGTACTGAAAGAACACTAATGTCGATGCAGCTCAGATAGAAAGAAGAAGAAGAAGAAGAAATGAGTAAGTGCTATTCTTAGTGCAAGTGCGTATCATTATTTCCATAGTCGGTTTATTTTTCTTTTTGGTATTGTCTTGTTCTTGAATCAAATACAGAATGAATGTGGTCTTCAATTATTGTCTTATTATTGATTATTAAACAGTCAAGTAGATTAAATAGCATTATTAGTTATTCCAATGAATCATTTTTCTTTTTGTTTTTCGTTGATTAGAAATCGAAGCACTTTCTTGTTATCAATGTTCAATGAAATATTCCAATGTGGAATGTAATTCATATAATTCAACATCTGCAACTGAATGTCAACCAACGTTTGATACATGTGTGACTATTGTAGTTAAACCTGATATTCTTAATCAGTTATTGATCACAAAATATTGTACAAAACGTAAAGCATGTGAACATCAATTAAATTATATTCATTCGTTAACGCCATGTCGACCTAACGACGAAGGTCGTAGTTGGGGTTGTGTTACATGTTGTGGAGAACGAGATTTATGTAATTATGATGATTCGAGTGTATTAAAACCTAATTTAACAGTATTATTGATTTTGTTTATAATATTCGTCTTTAATCGTTATTAGTCAAATCGATTTTTTTTGTTCGTATTATAGAAAACTTTATAGAAAAAGAAAGAAACCAGTATTTTTATTTATCATGAAATAAAAACCTTTTCACCATAAAATTTTTTATTCATCGTTTAAATAAATTAACTCTAAATTTATTTGAATAGATTATCCATGATAGAAATCAATTCGTTTTCCCTTGTTGAATGACATCATGTTTTCTTTATTTTTACGAATAATAAAAAATGATATGTAATTTTCATCTATTACTAAATCCCTGGATGATTTTAATCTTTGTTTATATGATCTATGAATTTCTTTTTAATGAGCTCACATTCAGTAACGATTATCTGCATCACAGTTGTAACTTCTAAAGGTATCATTTGTATTTTTCTCTCTTGTTCAAGGATCATATACCATCCTAATTATACTATACGAAGTAGTATCTATCAATTTATTATTTATCGTCTAATTCGCTAGCTATTCTGTATTTGCTTATGTGGAAAACGTCAAGTTTTGTTTTCACGGATAGAAATAGAAGTTTTAGTAGTTGAAGACAAGTAATTATCCACACTATTGAACACAAATGTTGGATATTCAGTTGCGAATTTAACTTTTAACAAGCCACCCACAAGTGGACGTGTTGCAGTTTGTTTCATTGTAGTTGAATTCACAGGCTCAATGCTCATGAACTCAGCACCAGGAAAATATGAAAGAGTTCGTCGAGCCAGTTCTACTCGGTTCATATAATCGGTGCTGGCCAGATGATAGATACCTGTCTTTTTGTCACTCAGCAAAACAAACATGGCTCGAGCAATATCATTTGCGTTAATGGGAGTTGCAAATTGATCGTAGGGAAGTTTCAAACAAATCGGTTGCTTCTGGTGACAATGTTGAATAATCCTAGCAACGAAATTTTTGCCACGTGCTTCATCGCCGTAGACATTAGTAACACGAAGAACCAAAGAATCGATCACAGAAGTACGTACAAGCTGTTCAGCGAGAAATTTGTGTTTTCCATAAACATTAATTGGATTTGGCGCGTCATTTTCCTGATAAGGACCAGAATTACCATCGAATACATAATCCGTTGAGATATATACAACTCGAGCACCACATTTGATAGCGAGTTCACAGACGTGACGAGTACTTTCAAGCGTATTTTCATAACTTTCTTTTTCGTTTTTTTCACAGTAGTCAACATTCGTCAGTGCCGCACAATGCACAATTACTTCAGGTCCGAAAGATACGACGTCGAAGTTCTGATCACTGTGCGGTTGTAATGTATTGTAGTAACACGTAGTGTCCGTTGTAAAGTTGCAATGGGAACCTTTAACTGTCCAACCTTGTTCTTTAAAATGTGCCAGACAGTGACTTCCAACAAGTCCTGAAGCACCGATAATAAAAACTTTCATGAAATTAGTTTGGTACAGATTGAATATCAGCAATGTTGTAATGACAAAACTATCTAGAATAAGTATCGTCAATAAAAAGAAAGGAATAGAACGTGTGAATTATACACTAATGGCAAGAAGAATGTCTTTCAAAAAACAAACAAATATTTTCAAAGTTCACATGTTCGAAATGCGAAGAGTATTCTTGAATGAAATTGCTTTGCTTGAGGGAGAAATGTAGGCTAACATACGAAATACTTATTCGCTCTGGCTGACTAGAAGGTGACCATGTATGCATACATTATATAAGCATTTGTTATTGTATTATCATGTTGAACATTTGGGACAGGCACTTTAAAAAAACGTTTAGTGAGTCCAGCCTGGAGATGGCATAAAAGAAAGATGCACTGTGCTGTTGAAGAAGTAAGTGAATCACAGTAAAGATAATTAGCTAACAACTGTCATTCAAATCAATATCTCACTCGTACATACTTGTACAAGAAAAAAAAAGAGAATTCATTGTTTATAACTATTATTACAGCGCTTGCTTAATGGAATTGATTCGTGGTAATTTTTCTCGCAAGCATCTTGAAGTACACAAGAAAAAAAATTTGATCTAGTCAGGTTGCCATAATGTTCCATTTTTAATGCATGAATTCCCCATTTCAACGAGATGTTCGATGGTAGCTCGATTGCTATGATAGTAATGTAAATTTTTTGCGAGAACATATGCACGTATTACCTCAAACAAATCATAGTCCGCTGTTTTTGGTCCTTTAAAATTTGGTGGAAAATCCCATTGTCCGCGATATCGGAAACCACGAAAAACCTTCATGTTCCATGCCCAAGAAGAATGCAATATATTACCACCAAAGGATTTAAGCCAATTGTTGACTTTGTCTTGTGGAACTATTATAGATGGATATGGATTACCACCACTATGGCAAAAATATCCTTTAGTCCATGCGAAAACGACCGATGGAAAATGTATAAAAATCGACAGTAGTTCACTCAGATGTTCTGGAGACCAGATATCGTCATCGTCAAGATTCGTAACATATATGTTACACGCTGTTCCACAAGGATTGTGATGTCGTTCGGCACGCTCTATTGCGTTGTTCATCGCCGAAACACCACCACTTTGCCATAGCTGAATGCCAGTTAAATTACCTCGCTCTCCGGGTTTTGGTAGATTGTACAGATACAACTTTGATGATGGTATAATCGTAAAAAGTGAACGAAATTCACTTTCGTTTTCGTACTTATCTCCTGTAACAAATAGTTCCCAGTTGGAGTATGATTGAGAAAGTATTGATTTAACAGCTTTCTTTATGTAGTACGGTGATCGGCCATTTGCCCGCGTATAAGAAGACATGATAATAATAAACAAATGATCATTACTAGTTTTCGAGATTGCAGCGTCGCTAAAACCCAAACGTGTCCATAGTGATGAGTAATTCAACTGGTGTACAATCAAAATAGCTATCATGCAGATAATAAATATTGCAGAGATCGATTTATGTATGGAGATATAAGATCGCATAGTGACTTGATTATAAGAATGAATCGACAAGAAATTTTTATTCTCAGTGATTAAGCAAAGATTTAGTAGAGTACTAATGACGCGGGGCAACGGTTGTCATGATTTATGTTACAATAATTGTCTAGAATCAACGAAATGCAGAAAGAAAAGATACAAATTTAAACGTCTAACGTTTTCATGTATATTGGACTACCCATTGTAGCGAACAGCTTGATTAGAGTAGCTTGTGCCACTCTCGGCAAAGATGTTAATTAGGCTACTTCAAGTTATCCAGAGTGTAACGACAAAACTAGAGAGAGTCGCCTATGCCCGTCGACATGATGGTGTGCTGTGTCACAACTTCATGCGTAGCACACGTATATATAGGAGAGAGATAGAAGAGAGACAGGGGAGAGAGATATTAGAACAATGGAAAGAGAACAGAAAGAGAATGAAGGAGAATCATCGAAGCGTGCCATCAATATCGGCACACCTACCATAGCGTAAGATGAAAAAGAAAACGAATGAAAAAGAAAATGAATGAAAAAGAAAATGAGGCCAGCACTAGCGTCTAATAGAAATACAAAAATAATTTATTAATGAGATAGGGCTCCCATATAACTACGACAGGAAGTTAGAAATTAGATCTTTCAAAGTTATATTTTTCATGCAGACAATTATGTTAGTATGCTAAGCAATATCCCATTTGCGTGATACTTATTTCATAATTCAAAACTGCCGTCAGGAATAATCATTGGGTATAGACGCTTTTCCGCGCCTAACTGACCTTCTATTTCAGCATCGCGATGCGAGGACACAAAGAGCTACTGCTTTTGCATTAGCAACAATGATTAACACTAATGTTTCAGCATTACTTAGATTCAAGTTATTTTATACCAATGTGCAACGATCAGGTTAGCATTATTTTTATTTGTATCCACTGCACTAAATCTTATTTTTGAAAATCTAATTGACCATACTATCTATACATTTTTAGGGTTTTGATTACGCACGCACCGTGTTACCTTTCAGCTGCTACATTCTAAAAAAAGGAGGTCGTTCCCGTGTGCCCACGGGAGAAATCTTTTTAGGTTCCGCATGGAACTTATTTGTTTTAGAGTGTGCCGTCCCATGATAGCCGAAGCATGTAAAAAGCTTTCAGTAGTGTCTCATATGGTGTCTTTAGGATTTGAAGTGCAATATTCAGCAGCATGTAATTTGATAACTGTAGCATCAAAGGAAATAGGAAATGAATAATAAATCATAATTCGAATTCTTTTTCTGCTTTTCTGCCGTAGTTAGATGACAAATCTGTGTCAGGTAGGGGTGGGCCATTAACATTAATATAAAATTAATGTTAATGTTTCCCATTAACCATTAATATTAATGCTTAATGTTTTCTGAGAAAAACTTAATTCATTAATATTAATGATTAATGAAAAACATTAACATTAATTTTAAAATTAATGTTTTCATTAATCATTAATAT